TCGTTGAGCAACTTCCTTGGTCATTGTGAAAGGCCTGTTGAGTCATGCGTACCTACCTTTGTCATCAATCATGCCTAGTGTCACTTCGATTTCGACTTCGATCTTGCTGGAAATGCTCAGATTATTGCACCAAGGCTGACAATTCCATCCGGTTTCATAGATGCGATATTACAAGACACTTAGAAAACTCTTATAATCAAGTGAAAACGAACCACGTGGGTACGCTGCCGTTATCACCTATGCCACTTCAACCCCTCAATTATCCGCCATAACCGATAATTCAGGGCTCGGGCGTTTTCGTAAACACTCCATACGTAGTATAGGAGGCGAAATTACGAAACGCATTAATTTTGAAGCTACCTATCTACTGGCTCACTCGGCTGACAGTCTGGAGAGAGGTTGTGAGCCGGGGGTGGCAGTTGAAAGCTTTCGCGTTATCATTTGGGCCTAGATTTACACATACTTACCCGGTAAACAATGAAGGCTAGCTATGAAAACATTCCCAGTAGATCTAATTACCATACATTTTCTCGATTTCGATGCCCGCGGGAAGAAACTGCTTCTGAAGAAAGCTGGGCACCACAATTTTGATCTTCTTCGTTAACGAGAAAGTTGAAACGGAATTTTGATCTCAAATAGAAGACTAGGCAGGACGCCTGGCATTGGCGCTCTTCAAGATTCGCGATTATCCGTCCCTGTCCCATGTCAAAACATGCATGGACGGTGGCTTAGGAGCCCCATACTTGAGCACGGCAGAGCCGCGAAGAAGTAGATGGCAACCCCACACAACCAACCATCTGCGGGAGTGCCGCGAGCAAGGGGGTTACGAACGCCCCCAACTGCCGATCACCTCTTCATTTAGAAACGGAAAAGTCAAAGTGGAAATTTCTTACCTTATTATTCAATGGCTTGAAGACAGGCTGCGCGTCCAGCGGAGCAACACTTTCTAGCGCGCTTTGAATGAGGCTGAAGCAGAGTCTAGTCCTCGCTTCTTAACGAGTTAAACTGGCTATTAGTTATCACAGCCGAAAGAACGGGAAACATCAATCAAAATAATCGAACGGGAATATTCTATAGCATGCAAATTTGGCAGCAGCCTCTTCTACGACTTCTCCCCTTTTGTCTCTCTCCGGTTACCCTATGAGCTCTATTTCGATTACCTGAATGCTGGCGATTGTTGCAGGGATAGAATCACTCACCTTGATCATGATGACTAGAACTAGAACGTGCAAGCAGATCTTGCGAGATGAATCCAGGACGAATTAGCGTACTTGAAAAAGGGGTTGAGCTGACGAAGTTGAGCCTCGGCTGAACGCGTGTCGTGAACGGGATGTGGAAACCAAGTTCCGCACCAGGGGGCGTTGCAGAGCATCCCAATTTTGGAATATCATCTTTGGCCCTCTGGATGGCGATAAAACCTCTTGATGCGAACCACGCAGAAATTTCTTTCTTCCCATATCCAAATCCTTTCCACCGTTCGTTGCACTCATCTTTACACCGTCATTATCGTGTTTGTGCTTGTTTTGTTTGAGTATTTCCCTTTTCAAGACATTCGTTCACTGCACGATGAAGACCCCTGTCATATCTCGGCTAGCCTTCTTGGCGTTTGGTACAGTCGTTACCGCAGCCACTTGCGATTCTCCTGTTCAGCGGAAGAACTTTACATCTCTGTCGAACGAAGAAAAGTTGGCCTGGATTGATGCTGAGAAGTGCCTCACTACCCACGATGCGGTTTTTGGGCTACTCGATGCCGCCACAACTCTTTGGGACGAGCAGCAGTACCTGCATTTGACCATGTCAAACTACATTCATGGAGTGGTTAGTATCTCCAAACGACACAAAAAGGCTCATCAATCTAACCGAGAAAAGGGACAATTTCTGCCTTGGCATCGCTACTATGTGAAGCTGCATGAGTACCTCTTACAGACTTACTGCGACTACACTGGTGGAATGCCTTACTGGGACTTGCAAGTTGACGCTGACAACGTCACCCAGTCTGCTGTATGGGACTTGGTTTACGGCGTTGGCGGTGACGGCAATTCTTCCGAGAGCAATGTTGTGACGGATGGTCCTTTCGCCTACACGGAATTCCATGTCGGAGCTTACTCCTTCAACACCGTCATCCCCAAGGCTGCAACATATTACTTGAATCGTTCTATCAGCGAATCTATCTTCCAGCTGGCAAGTCAATCCAGCGTAGATGAGTGCAACGAGGCAGAAGTATATGAGGACTACTGGGATTGCCTAGGGCAGGCTCCCCACTCAGCTGGCCATGCAGGTACCGGTGGCGTTGTGAGTAGCTTCTTAGAGATCGTTACCCATGGTCTGGGCATTGCTAACTTGCTCCATAGATGCAAGATCCTGTCTTATCCCCTGGAGACCCCATTTTCTTCTTGCACCACAACAACCTGGATCGTCTCTGGTGGGAGTGGCAGTCGATGAATTTGACCGCCCGACTCACAGATGTCAGTGGCCAGAACACCCCGTCCGACTCATTCAACCTCCAGAACAACTGGGAAGCGCCGGGCGCCAACTTCACGGACTACAGCGGCGACCCTGCCAATGTCACAACTTTGACCCATGTTCTGTCCCTGTATGAGATGCTTCCCAACGTCACTGTAGGCGACGTGATGGATATCGGCGGAGATGTTATCTGTGCGGAGTACGTTTAAGTTGGTTGTGAGGTACCCAGACCCATCGGGAAGTTGTGCCTTGGAATCATGGGAAATCGAGGCAGGAGCTTTCAACGAGGAGGCTATAAGGAAGCTATCTTAAAAGTGTTGGCCTATAAGATGCCATGTAGGCCAACTAAAAATTCTCGAGACTCATGTAATCGATGCTTTTCCATTGGCACCTTCATAATTCAAATAAGTCGCTAGGGAGGGAGGAACATGTGCGTTGTTATTATGTCAAAAGCAACCCGATGAGTAGCGGATCTGTGTACACACGCGAGCTGCGTGCTCCCAATGACCACACACGCTGCAAACACCGTACTACAGGAGACCTCCGCGCTAAGAGGGGCCCTCGCAAATTGGATATCTTCAAATGCGAATGCGACGTCCTGGCATTTACAAATTGCCGGCATGATTCATAAGAAGCGGGTGGCATGAGCCATCCAACCCAATCCCTGGTTTTCCGTGGGTTAAGTTGTGTCCGAACATCTCGGGTCAACGCCAGCGAACCCTAGTTCCGCGCTGCTCCTTGATGTATATGGAACCCGATCCTGGCAAAGAGCCGCGACAGCCGCGCAATCGGATTCATAATAATTTTCCATTTGGATTCTTAATTTCTTATTGAAGCACCTGGGCGTATCAATCTGCGTAGGATCAATCAGGTATGTCAGGTCATTTTCAACCGAAGGCATAGACTGTGGAATAATCAGCATCAAATTCGCCGCTTCCATCGGCACAACTGATCTATTCTTTTCTCTTCATAAAAGACCACAATGTTCCGCTATGGTCAACTCCTGCAGCTTGTCTCTGGAGAAACGTGGAATCTTTGGTGCACAAGCTCGATAACGTCACGTCCTGGCGACTGGCATGCGCAAGTGAAACGCAATTGGCCGCGATCTCTACAAGGGCTCAAAAGCGTCTCATAAATCCAACGTGAAGGAAATCACTTTTGAAATCTAATATTCCGCGCTGTCTTGTGATCTGGCCTCCGTTCCACCTACAACCCTTACTACCTTACGTTGAGGTAACTACCAGGGAGATGACCCGCTCTATCGTGAGGGAACCTAGATTAAGAGGGCGTGCCGCTGTACATGAGAATTCATGTTATAAACGTCAACGCAGGCTCTCCCTTTAAAGGCATAGCTGTCGACTATTGGTCCGCCAGTGCTAGGGGCTCTTACTCGAGCATACACCAAGGCGGGCTTGGAGACAACTTGGCTACTCGATCTCCAAGCTGATGATTAGAACGGAGTTGTCAGGTTTCAGGCCATTATTCCCGCGCATTGCAGCGGAAGAACACACAATGGTCTTCTAGTTGCTCACAGCCTTGACCAAATCGCCGACTGACACTATTACTGGTGGCAGCAGTATCCCACAAGTTAGGCAAAGATTTTATGACCAAGCTTCTGTTGATGAGATTGAGGCTTTTGAGATATATATGAAGAGCTCCTAAAGATGGACAAGAACGACGAGAACAACGTCATCATTGTTCAGGAAGCTCTTGTAACGGGCATCAATCTTATGGCGATCTACGTGTTGCTAGGCGAGTCAGTTGTTAGCGAGATATTTGCGCGGGTCTCACCCGGAATTATCCTGAGGCGCGCGAAGTTAATTCTGCCTTGAAGCAAAAGAAAAGACTCTAAGATCGGGAATGAAGTTCTTAAGATGATCGACCTGCGCTCTTTTGATGTAGGGCTACCTCCGCTACCCAGCGCCTACAGTAGTATTTCATTAATCTCGGGTCCAGGCAGTGCCGCCTCAACTTCAACCGCATGGAATTATCTTTTAGCACTATATCGTTCGGTCGATTGCCCTTTTCAAAAATATAGATAATGTTGAACCCACATGGGACCAGGCATTATGTCCCTGATGCAAGTGAATATACAACCATGCCTATTCATAGACACTTTTGGAAGTTCCACAAAACCAGCAACCTTTGAGCAAGCAATTTTACAGAAATAGCTGTTGCAGTTCAGTCTCATGATCTTAGTATTGATTGCCATCAGTGAGATACGAGATAAATCCAATGAGAAAATTGCTAATGATACACACACAAACTGACCCAAACACGATAGCAGTACAGAAATCCAGAAATCCAGAAATCCAAGTGCAGCAAATCCAAAGACAATTCCCCAGAAAAACACCAACAAGAGACAGCCAGCCCGGCTTAAATCAAAGAGGTCCTACGTAGAATACATGCGCCACTGAGGTGAATGACTGCAACCAGATAGAAAACCCGGGTACAGTGAGACCAAGGCTTCAGAGAAAGTTTTCTCCAGCTTCCAACCAATCAACTCATATAACCTGTTCCTCTTCTTTTTGGACTCGTCACTCGTCATTGTTCCGACTAGACGTGTCCTTGTGGGAGCTAGCTTTCATTGGCAACAGCAAGCCGTCAATCTTGTCTTTCAGATCGTTCTTATGGGCACGCCTGCCTTCTCTGTCATGAAGCCTTTGGCGATTCTCCTCCTCACGCTTCCGATCGTTAACGAAAGCAGCGGTATTTCTGTCGTATTGACCGGATTGATGGGTTCTGGCATTTTGTTCATGTTGCGTTCCGCACCAACTGCAAACTTTAGTCTCGGCAAATAGATGAAGATCACATCAGCCTCACCTCCCAGCATAAGCTTGAACGTCATTGTCATGAACGGTCTGAGTTTGCCTTGTGCTCATTGTGATTTGATGAAAGTGAATTCGATTTGTGGCAGTGAAGCTTTGGGGTAGTGTGGTAGAAACCGTTTCTTGATACAGATGGAATAGGTTTGAGGATAATGAGTTCAACATTCTCTAGAGCGTCTTCACAATTGAATGATAGATATACGCAGTGCTAAAGGTGAAATGCTTCTACCTGATGAAGAAAGCTCTGACCCCATAGCCTGCTCAGCCTACCGATTTACCTGCTGCCTCAATTCAAAGTACGGTAAACGAAGCGACGTTGATGACAGGTCAAAAAGCAAGGCCGGATTACATCTGGCATCGTGTGGATATGGTATAGTTTCAATTCAGGGGCCCAGCCGGGAATCCTAGCCGCCGGTGTGCATTCGTGCTTGGGTTCCCGGTAGCCGGGTCGTGCGTCTGGAAATCAGCTCCATGGAAACCCTGGTCTGCTAGGGTGTGTCCACGATGAAGAGCGGGATAGAATGACGATTCTGGGTGCTAAACGGTAGCCTGGCTGTGTAGGTAGGCTAGGTCGGCGATGTCAGTCCAGCAGCTTCACTTATGAAAGGTCAAAACACTGTCTGAGGTCGGCGAGGCAGACTGCGAGTAGCATCAGCTTGTACGGCGATCTTCTCAAGTACGGACGTAAGTCAGGAAGCTGATACTGGTGCCCTGCTTCGTGTGGAATAAGACCAGTTGGCAGGCGATGTAGAGGCAGTGCTCCTCACCGACCGACGAGCGGTGCTGGAAACTTGACTGCCTGCTCGTCCCCCCGTCAGACCGCCCCATGCATATCTCGTTTGAACACAGGCGTGCCCTTGCAATCGACCGTTACATCATCTTATCACTTTTGTTTGGGGATCTCGTGGGCATCGAGGGCGTTTCGATTCGGGTCGTACTGCGTAGGCATCAGCAACCTTGCGCGGGCCCGGCGCAAAGAATGGTCCGCGGGGGCTAGCAAGGCAGTGACGTTACTTGGAGCAGTCAACTCAATGCCGAGAGCGTAGAAGAACGAGGGAACGGAGTCGCCGAAATAAAATCTGGGAAACCTGGCTCAAAGCTGGGGTTCCGACCCCAACGGCCCAGGTCGTTTCAGCGCCGAGTAAGCTCTTGGGGGCCCTTCCCTAATTATCTGATCCCGGTAGCGGGGTGATCACGGCAGGCTTGAAGATTGATCTGTGTGATATGTCCCGTGCACTGCATTCCTCTCTGTGATGGGACCCGATTTTCGACCCCTGTTGTTGGTGCTTGGGACAAGGGTGCTTGTTTGTAAGGCCTGTTGTCCAAAGTCCGAGGTCACATCGGGGACATTCCTTCAGCCTTTTCGTATGGCATGATTTCTTCAAGTTGTCAGTGTCTGGTGTTCGTCGAACGTTGAAAGTCCAGGAAGGGAAATCAGAAATAAGCATGGGTGTCTGTCATTCAAGTAGGAACAGCCAGATCAGGCTGAGATCTCGACTCATCTGGTACCGCGCCCCAGAAGGGCCAGGATCTTTCGCGACCTACACAACCTGGATCCGTAATGGGCGCAGAAACACCTTCGGCCGCAGTTGGTAAGGAAACAAAATCTCCAGCCGCTCTGGCCGCTGGAAACCAATCTTCAGGTATGGCTCGTGGCGTCCATCCATCTACCGTCAGCTTCTGTAAACGGTGAACCGAGCTGATACTTGCATGCATGTTTGCAAGATGTCAGTCTTAATCGGGTTCCATCAGTGTAACACGAGCAGCACGCGAGCGGGGATTATTGGCCGTTGGATGTTGGCCCCGACACCATCACCACCACCCGTTTTATCGCCTTCTACGATACTCAAACCAAGCAGAAATACGCCATTGATTTCAAAAGTCTGGTCGGGCCGAGACTCCTGAGAGAGATTGAATCTTTATGAGTACAAGAACCCCGAAAGCCTGAAAAAGCGGCCGCCCATTTGATGATCTTGTACAAAGAGGGACCGATGCACTGTAAGCTCTTTCCCTACCCGAGATTGCAGTGGACCAGATTGCAGGATTCAATATTAACCACGTGCAGCTTGGCCATGCGGTCTCAGGTGATGCACATGGCCCAGCCAGCGGCACAGCGTCGCGCCCGCCAAGTTCCCTTGTCTCTCTTTCCAACAAGCGAATTGATATCCCCGTCCCGAGCCATGCCTCCGCATGTTTCACCCCCGAAAGCCCGATTGTTCACCGCCGGGAATAGCTAAATGAGATTGCCCGGTCCCAAGCCCACGGATCACGTTGATCAAGAATAGATCTGGGCCATCATTACGGATTTTAGTCAATAGTACTGGACCTCCGTGTGCTTTTTGCGCCGGAGTTCCGAGCCAAAGCTGCCGAACACTGACTTTGTTTGACTTAATTGCGTGATTCGAGGAGCCGCCGCGCCGAACTGCAAACATTGAATCCATGTGCCCCGTTTACACCACCGCCAGGCGGCAAGGTGGCCGGCTGTCATCGCAGAAGGCTGCAGCTGAAGTCTTAAAATGGCAGGTGAGACGTTGCGCAAGGATCAGAATCCTGGAAGAGCCTTGTCAGTGGGTTTCTTGAGGAGCGTCCTTTCACTTACAACGTGTGAACATGACGTTACCTCTAAACTTGACGAACCCGGGTACTAGGACTTCCGTCGTTTTCCAATTTATTTTCAGTGGATTGACGTCTGCATTCATCAACGCAAAAGGGGGCGGCGGTAACCTCTCCGCACATGGCATCGCAAAAGGCTTGCAAGGTATTTGCGGCAGCCTTCCTCTTTTCGTCGATCACTTGCTCTGGGGTGGCGTGACATGCAAGCCTCCTGTAGCTTCTCTGTCTCTCTTCGACATACTCTCTGATGTACGTTGATGGTTGCCACACTGCCGTGTCAGAAAATGCCGTCTTCTCCGTAGGTTCACATCCCTGAGATAATCTGCGCGCAGGCTTAGAAGGGCTGAACATCGAGGGGGTTAACAGGCCTACTCACATGGCTGAACCGCGATTGACCACCATTGAAACATGGCTTGATGTCTTGGCTGTACACTGATAGCTGGCAATTCGATGTTTGGGTTGCAACATCTTCAGCTTGGAGTGGTGGATGGCTGATATTTGGGGGCCCAAGGCCAGTTTCCTGGAGCTCACATTTGTTAGTAGACACCCAAACGATTTATTATGTGGAATAGCCAGGCGGCAGTGTGAGTGTCGCTCTTTGTACTGATTTGATATTTTTCTGGTGAGGCCGCTGAGGGACAACGGCTCTCACCCTTTTGCCATCGGAGATGCGAGTCTGCCTAACCTCTCATCTCGTGAGTTATGACGAAAGTCATCGTGGCCGATGCATCCGCACATATGTTTACTCATTCGTCATTTCAGTACCCCTTATGTGCTGGACCTACCGTTGCAAGGTGACAAGGATGCAGGCTCACCGTCTTGTGGCTCTGCTGCCACTGTGTTCTGGTGGATGCAGTGCTATCCATCAAATATGATGGGGCTGCACGCATCACACTAAGACGTCGACTAGTAAGGCAACCTTTGTAGCAGAGAGCCCAACGGTGAAATGAAAGTAACCTGTGACCTCTGATGCTAACAATCGGGACTTGTCTCAGTTCGAGTTCCCCTCTGCATGATGCCCTCGCCCCCCCTCAGAACACCCTAGGCTGACTAGTCATGGGCTGAATTTCTGCAGGACTTCTCAAAGACGGCTAGCTTCCTGAAGGGCATACCATACGTCGTACTTCATTGTGGCTGGCGCACATGAGAGACACCCTGAAAGTTGGGCTCTTCTGCATGGCGCCGGAGAGAAAGCCCACATCCCTGCCCAAACGAAGCCTGGAAACATCCATTGGATGTATGTCTCTTCCCCGCTCACAGGTTCTCTGGCAGTTGATCTCAAGTACTGGGAACATAGCCGCAGCAAGTAGAAGAACGCTAAAGATTCCTTACCAAAAGCGGGCTCAAAGCCGTCGAGTTGCAAGAGATACCCGCTGTATAGACCACGAGAGGGTAGCTTTAGTTGCACACACCCCATGGCACACACAATGAGGCACACTGAGCCGAGAATTTGCCTGCTCACTTGATCACAATGACAATTTCTTGTAGACTCGGCCGGCACTCCCTGCTCCAAGATGAGGCTAGCCTGCGTACAATTCTCTGGATAGGAGCCGGCCACGTTGGGCCTCTAGGGCGGAGCTTCACTAGCAGCAATTCCCGACAACATACAACTCACACATACGGGGCCCACTTCCCAACTTTTGGTGCCTGGTATGGTTCTATGGGAGCCTGGCTGTGTTGTTCTCGGCGTAGCGAGAGAGTGAGTCGTTGCGTGAATACCCAGGTGCGAAGGTATGTGCATCCGAGGGAGACTTCCGTATATATGGCAACACCTCTACATCAATACTTAGCACGATAACACATTGAACGAATCATCTTTCTGGAGGCTTGTACGGCTGCGCCAGGTCGCGCGGATGAGACATGCATCGACGGAGGTTTGTGGCTGGTATACCAAACCTGGGCAGGGATTGCTATACGGTGTCTGTGCAACTCAATTGGGTCCTGGGGGCAAACTGGATATCCATCAAAGGCTTTAGTAAGCAGAATTGTGTATTTATTAAGTAACTTACAAAAGGAATGTACGTACATGCGACGAAGTCAGTAGTTGTGTGAAGAAAGACGCGGTGGTTGCAATGGGAGTAGTTACAGCACAATTGGGCTTCCCGTAGAAAGTCTAAGAAGACGTCAAACTAACATAGGCCCATTTCAACATGAATAAACTCGATTGACAAGGTCATATAGCCTGGGCCATGGAATCTACTTTTGGTTAGATGGGTAGTCTAATGTTCTCAACTACAGAAACAACCTAGGGTATGCGTAGATGTTTCATGCTAGCCCCTTTGTGTCAACTGGGCGAGAATTCGTGCGTTATGGTTCAACGATATGGTGCTTTGGTTGAATGTGTTGAAGCCGGATTCAAGCAAAAGTTATAGCAAAGGGTTGGAGCGTAGTCAGGTTACGCAAGGCCTAAATCTTCCGAAACAACTACATTAAACCGACAATATCTATGGATGCGTGATATTTGATGTTTCCGCCGTCTTTAATTTGCCTTTAAGTCCCGATATCCCGTATAGTAGGCCACAAATAGTGATGATTCCATCAAAGTGATGATTTACGCATAGCAGATATGATATTTGATAATTGGACTTCAGGAGCTTGTGAAATCGATACGCACGCTCTATACCACAGGTCTCCCAGACAAATGATCATGGATTCGCGAGCAAGTCTGGTATGCTAACTACCACAATGAACGTCAGACATGGCATTGCGTCTAATCCTAGTGTAGGAGTCCGCGATAGTGGAGACCGAAGATCGCACTAAATAGACGACCCGTCACTAGTACGATTACAACGCACGGGACCGGGAGGTAGGAAACTTTGAATTGACGGCAACTTCAGTGGAAAGTGGAATGCTGTTTAGCGCTTTGGCCGGCACTTGGTAGGGGTTGCGTCAGGGTCTGACCAGGAACTGGTTCCTATGGGCGACAGCGGCTTTCTGCAGCTCCTTAATATAGCCTCGCATACACAAGACGTCAAAGTGATTGGCAAAAGTTTCTTGTGAGTGATCACATGATCAATCCGTCAAGCCAGACGCCCGCGAACAGGAGGGGAAGGGTGCCATGGCACGTTGTGTCTCATGGGATGCAACTTAACAGACGTGTTGGCGTTGCCTTCTCTTGACCCCTCAATTCCTACAGACCACAATCTGCATGCCGACCAACACACTTATGGTGTTGTCGTACGAGTAGGAAACCCTCAGCCTGTCAGTCGAGATGGTCTAAGCAACTGAAGCTATCTCCAGGGGTCTTGTGTGGACCCGTGAGGTCTCGGCGCGCGTGATGGCCCATCGTGAACATCGGGAAAAATTGACGACCTAACCAATGAAAAGAGCAGTGATATATGGACAACGGAGCCGCTAGTCACTAAGGACGAGTCAAAGTTGTCAGGGCGGGAACAGGGTTCAACAAATGCTCGCCTCACCTTGCTACTCCACCTCATTGGCCAGGTAGCCGTGGTATGACCACAAGCTAGGAAGTAAGATAATGGGACTGATCAATAATCTAGCTTGAAAAGCACCAGGGTGAAGTCTATTCGCCGGGTCGAAAAGGAGTCGGCATGGTGTTTTGATATAGAGGGCTATTCGTAGTGCATGTTCGTTTACTGATCATAATGGAAGGTCGCTCGCGGTCTGATAACTCACTAGCGCCCACTCTCCTTTTCACAGCATTTTAATCTTGACATCAACTCAGATGCTTGACCAGAATGATTTTAGGTATGCAATATTACGACTTTTCGACTGCACTGACCGACAACTACTAGTACAGCTCTCCTCAAAATGCCAAACAAAAACTTTTCACGCCGCCGGGGGTAAGACAACAACAGAAACCAGGTTTTCCTTCCTCAATGTAGGTGACGTCGAAATGCTATGATGAGTGAGTTCATGGCTCATGCCATGCCATATCCTATATTCTCCCATACCCCCTTCTTTATTCTTTACTTTTGACGATGGCTGGACTTTGAGTGTTTCTTCTTTTTCTTCTTCTCATCATGATTTGGACTGCGACTTCAGTTAGAGAGCCTCCAAGATGCTGGAAGAAACTCATACCTGCTAGGTCTGTTGACATAAGTCGACATCGATCTTTCGGATCTCCCTGGGAGATTTTGCAAGTTCAATTGTATTGGGTCACGGCCGCGGGGATCTTCTTGAGCTGGTACGATATCAAAGTTGGCCCCAGGTGGATTCCAAGCGCCCATGTGCCTGAAATCCTGGGATGACGGGGTTCCGACTGTGAAAGCTGTGGAGGCCGACTGCATGCTCGACGAATAGTACGCGCCGGGAATCGCATCACCCATGGCGGGGTCAGGCTGTGCGGTGCTGAAATCGTTCCCGCTCCCTCCATAAGGCTGAGAAGGCAAAGTTGCATTCCAGTCCATGTGCTGCTGTGCCGCCGGCTGATACCAATATCCATCGGGCTGGCCAGCTGCTGCGTTCTGCGGGGATGAATGGGGGTTGCCAGTCTGTGCGTGGCCCATACCAAAGTGGTGCGATGAAGAATGACAAGGTATGGGCTGTGGCGGCGAGTTCGCCATTTGCTGGGCGTCGTAAGGTTGGTGGGGGTAAGACATGGAACCTCGATTATTCTGGCCCGAAGTGCCTTTCTGCTGTTGGAGATCGGCAAGTGTGCGCTTTGAGCTACTCGAGACTATGTCTGTCTTTGTTTCAACGTCAAGAGAAAAATGACTTTGCTCATCGAAAAGACTTCAGGGGCGAGACAGCGAGGAGAACTGTATTAATACCTTTGGAGGATGTCCTCGAAACATCGTCTTAGGGACAACAGGCGTTTACTACCAGCGGCCTCTTAACTGTCGTCGGGGAATGGGCGATTCGGATCACACTTCACAATCATCATCATAGCGTTGGGCGCGATTTGTTACAAAGATGAAAGCCCTACGGGATCGTTGGGCACGAACAAATGCTTGGAATAGGCACAAAATTCGGATTGCCCTATCATGGGCAGCCTCAAAAACACGGCGTCGTCTGCTAGCTGCTGCTGCCTAGAGTCCTAGAGGAGGTGTGGGCTCACTCAAAGCTGCCTTCTCGCGTTCTTCAGATAGCTGAAAATTCATGAGCAAAACAACTGATGCAGACTAAAGATGGTTCGCCCAAGAGCCTCCGTTTCCGGGAAGGTCAAGGCTAGTAGGATCTCTTGCTAACGCATCTCACAGTTTTCAACTTGAACCGAACACGGATGCACATGGCCGAGGCCGCTCCGAATTCGATGACCATCGCGCTGTATCACAGCTGAAGGACCTATTCGGATAACAAGACAGGGGGTTGCCATCCCGCCGAGGCATACGTACCCCATGGAATCACAGGCCTCGACGCAGAGATGCATTTTGGTTCGTTCATTGGCCAATTCTCAGTAGCCTTGCTTCCAGACGTGCAGAGTGGCTCTGAAGGATCTTCAGGATGTAGCCCATTGAAACAGAACTTGCAGATGCCGTTTCTCAGTCGGCCATTGTTGGCTTCTTTTCGAGCAGAAAGGCCAGAGTGTGATTACGACACCATGTTCTGATTTGGGACTGGGTGGCATCACAGTCTCAATGCGGCCTGTAAGCGCATGTGTGCTCTTCCAGAACAGTGGTCTCCAAGCCCAGATCATCCTTCGTGCGTCAAAATGGTCACGGCAACCCCGAAAATCAAACAGCCACAACAGCAATTGCAACAAGGCGGTGAGGCCAAGACCAGCCCTGCTTGATGCCTGAACTAAATCGGGGTTCATAGTTGACTCTTAGACACAGGAAAGCGAAGAATTAAACGCTTTGGAAACCTAACCAATTTCCTTACTTCATGTGGACGTTTTGGATAGAGGCGTTGTCCCTGTCCGTCTGCACGGTACCTTCAGTGCTTTGGTTTCTGTTGGCCCTGTTGACGCTCAAGCTGCAGTGATCTACAGCGCAGAATTCCCACCACATCGGCTTGCTTCCGCTTGTCCGGCATGCTGGCATCAGCGATTGGGCCAATTCCGCTCAACATTGTATACCTTCAGTGATGAAATTCGTACTTTTGAGTTGCCAAACTCCACAGACTGAACATGACTGGCTTGTTGCGATGGTTGAATTCCTGGCAAAAGTGCTTGCGCCATGCCGGGATTTGCACGAGGCCGAGTAATCCTCAGTTTATGACATTGTGAACGTGCCAAATTAGCTGTCGACAGGTCGTCGCACGCCGAACTACCGGAACTACCATTGCCCCGCTAACGATTCTGAAGATGTTCATGAAAGTTGTACCTGAAGTGGCTACAGCATCAATCGCTGTAGTATTTCGCTCCTGCAGGGTACTTTGCGTGGACGGCTATCCAGCCACTCAAAGACATCACGGTCACCGAAAAATTTACCGGACAGCTCGGCGTCTTCGTTTACTTATTCGAAACCCGCTAAATGAGTGACGGACCGTGGCTCCAGCCCCTATCCCTAATTCTGTCTTGGTAGACCTCCAGCGCCAAACATTTGATATTTGAGCCAGACGTCTTGATCAAGTTTATGGCTTGCATTGTTGATCACTGCAAAGTAAGCAGCACGATCCCGGTCTTCATGTTCACATATCAGTCACAGACACATCGATGATAACCAAGCAACAGACAAGGAAAACTACTTACCTTCCGCAGCCGCAGGGCCTTCGGGCGCCGCCGGCCGCCGACGCTTCCATTCACCCAGTCAGAATGAGCAGTCTGGCCCGCGAGAGTTGGTTGGTCATAGATACTTTGATAGGCCCAAGTCAGCAATCGCTCCGTACTGGGCCGTCTGGGCGACTGCATCTCGCCCTAAGCAGCTACGTATTTGTCATAGGTGACCATAGGATCTGGATGACAAGGCCGACGAAAAGTACATGTCTTATGTCCTTGGAATGAAATACTTTACAAAGAAAGAGTGGGAAGATTTGTGTTAATGTTGCAGTAAGACCAACGTTCGACTTCAAATGAGGTTGTGACTGTCATGTAAAGGAAATCGTACCTTAGGCACCTGATCAGTGACTTCATGAGTCTGAAATGCCAGAAATAGAAAATCGAATCATGCGTCCTTGATATTCGGCGAATTTACGTCTGTCGATACCCAAGTAGCTTCCGCCCAAGTTTAGGGGAATTGCTTTCTGCTCAGTTCGAAGACGCATAATGACACATGCTATAGTTTAATTCCTTCTACGCTCTGATCAGTGCTTATTGCATCAGTATCCGTTTCAATTATGACTGTTTCATTTTGCTGACCCTCTAGCCTTCTAGACCCAAGATCAGAACCCATACTGCTCTGCATGTAGACAGATCCCTTGCGCCCCAGTACCTTTGTGTACGGCTCTCTCGTCTGAGAGTCGGGCGACACAATTTCTAACCGTAGCGACTAGAGACGAGCCACCACAAACAACAACCAAGGATTCCCCGCCGGCAGCTTCAATAGGTTCTCGTATAAAGCTCGAGATGTCCGGCCGCGAGGTTGAGAGGTTGATCTTCGCTGAAGATCTGGCCCCGTTGTTATTGTACGCCTGACGGGCGCCATCAGTTTCAACGTCAGTCATCGCTGAGAACTTCGTGGCCGCTTTTTCGGCCTCTATATCGTAATCGCCTGATGCAAAAGACGAAGGTCTGTCTTTGACCAACCGCGTCAAGTCTGACGAGGACGCAGATGTTACGCCGCCCGTTACCGCAATTTGAACGTTCAACTCCATACAGTTGCTTCCTCGTCCCACCATAGATTTCAACTCTTGCAGACGCTCAACGTAAAATGAGATCTCGTCTGCTTCCTTAGCCATGATAAGAAAGTCAACCCGCGTTACGCAACTTTTCTTGTCTGTTGTCATAACGCCCTCCAGCATGGAAAGAGTAAAGGAGGCGCCAGTAGAGGCCGCAATGAGGACTAAAGTCTCGTAATGGCTACTTGCAGGTGGATGTCCATAGGGACCCATAACAAAGGCCGTCAAAACCTTAGATTGGGCATCGTTCTGAGAGGCGAAGCGATGAAGTCTGCGCGAGAAGCCCGCGTGCTTGCGTACAACTAAATGCATACTATTGTTTCGCGTCTTTTTCTCCTTGTCTGTTGATTGATTTACACCAGCGATGGTGTATGGATGAGTCTGCGTCGGTCCAACCCCTGGTAGCCAGAGATAAATGTGCTGGCCTGGCTTCCAGCTAAAGTCGATGTTCTCAATGGTCAGGACCGTTGTCTGCAATCCTGAAATCTTGATGCGAGCGGGATGACCGAGCCGCCGTCCCGCGCTCATCTGGAAGTTGTTACGAACGAGCAGTACTGTTCTTCCAAGTCGATCGGAGGCAAGAGCTGCTACCGAGACCCAGATAGCTGCCTGCGCGTAGCTGGGAACATGGACGTAAAGAAGCCAGAGGAAAACTACCGCGCTTATGGCGTGTTGCGCTACAAAGAGCTCGTAGCAGAGAGACCTGAGTGGGCCGAGAGAAGTGATAAACTGCAAGGCTAAGACTGCCCAAGCCGCAAAGCCATACCGGATCATGGGGCCCATCATCGATATCTGCAACTCAACCATGTCGGCGAGAACCCATTCGGCGTAGAAGTAGAACCCGTGAACCGTTGCCGAGAGTAGTAGAGTGCGCGCCACCCACCGATGAAGCCAGTTCAGGCGCTCGTGGCCGGAGCCAACGACGAGGCCAAAGATGCTGTACTTAGACGCCAAGAGGTAGACTAGCGGCACTTGCATGGTGGCAATCCAGGCGTTACGAAAGCCAATACGCTCCCAGAAGTATCCGTCCGAGATGGCTGTCCCAGCCGCCATCATGTATGCGATTATGATCCAGTAAACCAGCAATACCAGAGAACGACCTAACGGCGGTGGTCTCATCCAGGAAAGCCATGCTTTGCTGATGAAAAGCTGCGGATAGCTCATCTCTCTGGAGAGGGCTGTCATCGTTGCAAAGACCTTCTGGGAACCATTGATTGGTCGAGTAGGATGTCGGATGGATCCTGAAGTAAGGCGGCGAAGTCTGTAAAATTTCTGAATCAGCCATCAAGTAAAACGATGACGAGAAAGACTACAGTTGATAAGTGTTCTCACCGTATCATACACAAAAACAGAAGATAAAGGCGTACCTACCTGGTACGTGACTGGTACAGACTCAACAGCCGCAACACGGCGATACTGCCGAGGACGCTTCCAATGATGATCCAAAAATCACGAGCCAGCTCGATGTTTGTCGTCTGGAACATGTTCATGCCCATGTCCATGGACATGCCGCCCATGTTACTCATATCCATCGCGGCGAATTTGATGGGAGACGCCACTAAAATGGACGATGTCGTGCGATGTAACGGTTGAGAAGGCCTGCTTCCAGCGCTGGAGTTTTTTGAAGACGATGAAAGAAGAAACCAAGTTCAAATTAGAAGGAAATGTATATGTTTGGGTAAAACAGCATATCAACAGACGTCAAAATCAAACAAAACCGGCTGACGTCTCCAGGCACACGCGGCGGAGGGGAAAGATCGTTGTGACATATCCCAACTGCAACCAGTGACGGTGAACTACTTACAAATTCGGATCTTCTTGGGAAGTCATCCTGCATCATCCGTTCTTCTCACATCCATGTATGCTGTACCATGTGAGTGGGCTTCTTCCCCCGCATGTACAAAGGAGCCATCCGTCCCCTTCGTGTGGACTGGGACTCGGTTTCGCCCAACCAAATAACACCATAGGAGATCAAACCATATTCTGACCAATCATATAATTGAAGATCTAATGAAGTTAAAGAAAGCCCGCAGTTACATGGGGTCTCCAGATATGCTTTGTTGCGCCCGCATGGATCTCCCTCCAGTCCGTGATCCCCTGAAAAAAGGGTTAGGTGGTCGCATTTATTCAATTACCGGCTACTCTTATGCAATATAGAGACACGACTAGTTTTAAAACGCGAGAAGGGGTATGTCTTCGTCTCAACAGAGCTTAGAGCCTTCGTGCCAAAACAAGCTCAATTCTTCTCAATGCCGCGAACTAAGTTTCACTATTTCAGCCACCGGCACCCAGGAACCGTGGTATGCCGTTGTCACTGGATCGTGGAAAAAAAATGCTTGTTTCTCGTACATCGGGTGTTTGCCGCAACTCTGGGAAAGGCGAAATCTGCCTCAATCCCCCTCAGAGTTCTGGTAGTGCTCCAAAGGGTGTGGCGTTGTGCCGCTAACACTGGTCATCTGCTCCCTGGGCAACGATGCTAAGGCGCCGTTGTACCGGCACCGGCAAGCTCCATTTTCACTTCAAACAGCCGTCTTTCAGGGACTGGCCTCACATGGTGGGAAAGCATGATACTATTTCCCAAATTTGTTCAATGATGTTGTGCAGCCTTTACGACATCCTTGGCCGACTATTTATCACCAAGCAGCACCCTCCATCTTTGCGTGACATCCGACAGCACAAACCTTTTGTTTCTTGATTCAAAGTTTCGTTTTGATCGCAGTAACGTTTTCACTGAGGCTGGTTCTCACTATCTTTACATAATACTCAGTCGCCTACATATCATTCTCCTTCCGCCGTGCATCCGTTAACACAACATGGCATCAATTCGATCGATCGCTGCTACAGCTCTGCTGCTGGTGTCAGCAGCTCAAGCACACTTCAAGCTCAACTTTCCGCCCACAATTGGCTTCAGCGATGATAACGAGGGCTCCGCTCCTTGCGGAAGCTTCACTCCAGACTTCACCAAGGACAACGTGACAGATTTCCACGTCAGCGGCGAGGCCATCTCGTTATTGCTTGCGCACCCTCAGGCCAACTGGCTGTTCCGTGGTACACTGGACCAGACGGCTGCTTCGAACTGGAAGCAGCTGTTCCCTATCGTTCAGCAGAAGGGACTCGGCGACTTTTGCGAACCTTCCGTAACTGCACCTGCAAGCTGGGTCGGCAAGAAGGGCGTCTTGAGTGTTGTCGCCGACGGACCAGACGGTTTGCTCTACCAAGTAAGTGATATTATCTCAGCACGATACCTTTTTGGTTTGCAGGTCAAGTCAGACATCTAAGTCTCCATGCTTCCCTGCTCGTTTCCCCTATATCTTGTCTCTGGACAACTACTAATGCATATAATCTAGTGCTCCGCCGTGAACTTCGTCGAGGGTACAGGCACCCAACCCGCGAGCTGCAAGAACGCAACCTCCGTCTCCGCTTCCTTCGCAACAGACTCCAAGCTGACTGCGTTGGTGGCGAACGGGACCGGTAGCGCAACCCAGCCATCGACATCGAACAGCGCCAACAGTGGCGCCCCTGCCAAAGGTGCTGCTATATTTGTCGGTGGTCTCATGGTGCTGGCGGGCGCGGTCGTTGTTGGGTCCGCGATGCAGTGATGAAAAGAGGCAAGAGGCAAGCATGACCAAGGTCAAAAACTGTTATCATCCACATTTGACTAGTTTTATTTCCACTCTCCAAAATACAGTGGTTCTTGCACGTCATTTCATTGTCGTCATTAGCACCCGAGGCATTAGCCATCTCGCTTGCTCTTCCGTAACACATGCGTCTTGGCGTATATTTACCTTGAGCGTTCGGTTATCACTACCCGGACTGAGGCCTGCTATTTCTCTGACACATTCATTCGACTTCGTGCAATCAGCATAGAAGAACCCAAGCCGTTCGATGCCTGCTCAGACCAGCCAGCCCTGCAAGCCTAGACAGCCTAGCGAAGGGGGAGACAGATGACCTGTAAGAACGACAAGGAGCACTGGCTAGCAGAACCAGTCAGGAACAAGTGCTTGAGCGGCACTGAGAATCTTTCCCTATCGTCCTCGAGGTTTGCTTCTTAGCGTTCGGCCGGCTTATGTACAATCCGATAGCCGTCTCTCAAACGCGCAACGCTGTTGCTTTTGAGATATCGAACTCAATCACTATCATCGGATACTCGCTCCGGAGATTTGACCCACATCACCCCGGACATCCCCTTGTAATCGTCCATGTAACGTGCCCGAGATATGCAATGCAGATACGGCGTCATCTTTCTTGTCTATGGAAATGGTAATCATGTTCCCTTCAATCTGATCCTTGGAAAGCTTCCATAAATGGTAGCCTCGTCTGGTCAGTTTTGACAGAACACCGATGTCCCAATATTCAGACCTTTGCAGCATTCCATCTTGAGCTCTCCAAGCTAGTCTGCATCGCCAAGAAAATCAAGCGATAGTGACAGTCATAGACATCTTTGTACCGGTCGATTTGGACAGCTGCGAGTTTTGCAAACACCCACCGACTGTTGTTCACAATGCAGACGTCTCAGATATCCGACATGCAGGCTTCCGAGAAATCAGACCAGGAGAAGCAGTTGTCTCCCGTGCGCACCGCTGAATCTGTCCATCAGGGTCAGATTACATCCGATGAACAGGGGCAAGGGGACTTACACCGAGATTTCAGTCCACGGCATATTCACGTACGTTCTATCGAAACGTATACACATCTCCTTCGTTGCTAGGTTTAACGCATGGCCATAGATAATATCCCTAGGCTCCAGCGTGGGCAGCGGGCTTTTCATCGCGACTGGCAAGGCGTTAGCAACCGGTGGCCCCGGCACTATGTTCCTGGCTTACTTGATTGTATGCACTGGAGTTTGGTCCAATCTCCAAAGCCTGGGTGAAATGACCATCGCTTTCCCTGTATCTGGTAGCTTTGTCAACTATGCCGGTCGATGGGTTGATCCTGCTCTGGCCTTTGGTGCAGGTTTTGCCGAATGGCTCGGTAAGTCTGGTCCCCAATCTTCAAATTCATTGTCTCCTTCATTGCATGTCCTTCTCACTGACTACGAAACAGGTTGGATCGCGGTATTCGCAGCTGAAGCTGAGTTCTTCGTCGTTTTAATTGAGTACTGGACGACTGCAGTACCACACGCAGCTTTGAGTTAGTTATTCTCTCTCTCATTGTATCGCAACCGATTTCGAACTAATTAACGCGTGAACAAACAGTCTCGATCTTTCTATGCACCTGTCTCGTCGTCTTCTTCCTCCCCAATAAGTTCTTCGCTTGGCTTCAATCCATTGGATCGCTCGTCAAGATCATTCTTTTCGTCTTCGTGATCTTCCTCTCTCTTGCCCTGATCGCTGGCACCGGACCCACTGGATCTGTCAAAGATGGAAGCTACTGGCGTGAAGGAAAGGCGTTCCAGAACGGATTCATGGTAATGATTCGGCATTCACGTTTAACGGAGCTTCTAGGCGACTGACATATGTGATCCTAGGGCTTTGCGAGTTGCGCACTTCTAGCTATCTGGGCAGTTGGGGACCAGGTCTTCATTGGCGTCATGGGAGGAGAGGCCAGCTCGCCAAGATACTCGATGGCCCACGCGTCGACTCTGGTCCCGATCCGTGTCAGCTTCATGTATCTGGTTTGCGTGATCTTTATCGGCATCATAGTCCCATCAGATGACCCCCTTCTCCTTGGCGGATCCGGCTCGGCAGCATCGCCTTTCGTTATCGCAACGCGGAACTCGGGCCTGGCGGGCATTCCAGACTTCATCAACGTCTGCATGATCATTGGCATATTGGCCATCGCATTGGAGTCGATATACCTTCCCTCTCGGACCATCCGTACCATGGCTTTTCAAGGTGTGCTTCCAGAGGTTCTGGCAAAGTGCGACGACAAAGGCCGTCCTAGATGGGCTCTTTTTATCAGCGCAGTTGTGGGTGTTATCTTGAGCTATCTCAGTTTGAGCAGTAAGGTCCCTCATTCGTTGATTCACCATCGAGATAGACTAACGTTCGGTGAAGGTGGTGGAACCACGGCGTTGAATTGGTTCATTTCGATCACGAGCGCCTCATTTTTTAGCAACTGGGCCATCATTGCCTTCACGAACTTGAGGTTTCATGCTGCTTTGCGAGCACAGAACGACAAGATATTTAGCCAAAACTTTGCCTGGAAGTCTATTGCCTGGCCGTTTGCACCCATCTGGGGTCTCATTATATCCTCAATGCTTCTGGTCTGTCTGGTTTATGCGGCTGTTAACCCTTCGGTGAGTAATCCAGGTTGAAGTCACCAGGGCTTCCAAGCTCCGTACCCATTCGTACCTGACATTCTTTTTGCAGAACGATTTCTCGGCCGAGAACTTTTTCGAGTACATGATCGGCCTTCTGATGATCGTGGGTGCTACGATTGGCTACAAGCTCATTAGGCGCTCGCGTTGGGTCGATCCTGCGGAAGCTGACTTGGTAACTGGAAGGCATATGCTGAGAGACGAAGAAATTCAATTTCTCAACGAATACTACAGTAGACCTTTGTGGAGGAGGGTGATGACTTACTTGTCATTGATTTGAGAGAACATGTTGTTAAATATGTGGAAGGACCGTTTTTGACTCCAAAGTCTACCATTTCATTCTGCTGGCTTTGTTGTCAAGTTCCATTCAAATGAATAAAACGCATTATGGCAGACATATCCGTGAATCCATTGTGCAAAATGAAGTATGCCGACCCCGGTGCGATCGGCGACGTTGGCGCATAGACTCCCCGGACGCCGAGTCGCGCTACGGCATCTCCATCCGGGCGGCGCTGTCATCTGTTCGGCTGTGGGGGCCACGAACCCCGGGAGCCAAGCAACGTCCGCTTACATATGAACTCACGCCTGGCTATCAACACCTGGCAATACATGCGGGGAAGGGAGAAGGATTTCGCAGGCAATTAGGTCTGATAAGACACCCTAGTGGTCATCGCTGAAACCTGCTAGTTTTGAGAATACTTCTGTAGGCACTACCGGCTGTAACCCCGCGGCATCGGATGCGTATCCCGATGTGAACGTTGATAACGTAGCTTGATTGCCCAGAGCTGCCTCGTATGGCCTACCATAGTGGCTAATCATAGTTCTTTGCATCTGGGCACCATGTCTGAGGATAAACAGACTGTCGTTGTCGCCGGTGCCGGTGATCTCGCGCAGTATCTCGCCGAGGAGTTCAAAGTCGACAACAAGCACGATGTGCTTCTCATATCCCGAAAGGAACGCGAATTCTTCACCAAATTAGGTGTCACTACTCATGAAATAGATGAGTACTCTGCGGACAGCGTCTTGGCTGTTCTCGAAAAAGTAAACGCCACTGTGCTCATTTCGACCCTGCACACCGACGATCCGGCGCTCTACACGTCATTGCACATGGCACTGCTACTGGCCTGCAAGGCTTCCAAGACATGCAAGCGGTTTATACCCAGCGAGTTCCTAGGAAACTTGCGCGAGTTTGACAACATCCCACGCGGAATCGCTCGCGCGCGGAGAGCTTTCCGCTCGGAGTTACTGAACGAGTCCGAGATCAAGTGGACTCTTGTTAACCTTGGATGGCTAGCGGATTACTTCGTTCAGCAGCCTGATGGATCAAAAAGCTACATTAGCCCCTTTCCTCAAGGATGGCCGATCAACATGGAGGAAGGAACCGCTCGAATGATCGGTACTGGGGATGAACCGGTGTGCTGGACAGCGGCACGAGATGTAGCGAAGGCAGTTGTGAAGCTCGTATCTCACGATGAGTGGCCTGACCATGCCTATGTATTCGGAGAGATCGGATCATGGAACCAAGCAATTGAGAAGGTCGAGCGCTACTATGGAATTACATTAACTGTTGGTCGGTCCTGTTTCCCGTACGAATATAGATAGACTGACTTTGTGGACAGCGAACACACGTCACCCAAGACAACATATCCCGAGACTTGGCTAATGAGGCAGTGGTCGAAAAGTGGTACAGGGCTACCATTGACGAGTGGTCACTAGCTGGTGCAACTGCTGTGCCTCTGGAGGAAGCACTTCATCAGCGCGAGAGGTACTTTGGGGAGGTTAAGTTCAGAGACATCAACGAACTATTACGTAGCTCGGAGCATATGCAGATCATTTGAGCAATAGTAAAAACATGAGACAATTTATGCCCTCACCTCCTCAAGCTGATCCAACTGAATGTCGCCTTGCTTCGAATCTAAGCGAGCTTCCAAGGCATGCTGGCCCGGTTGGACTGTTCTTCCACCAGTCGAGTAAACTCCGCCCGTGATACCACCTTTCGTGAAAAGGAGCGGGATATCTTCCAGCTCGAGTCCTTTGGTCTCTGGGTAGAAGAAGTAGACCATGGGTATGAACAGAATCTTTAGAACGGCGAAGATGATGAACGTTCTCCACTCAATGTTTGCTTGTAAATTCTCGTCAGTCCGCTTCAAATACTGGAGAATAGTCAAACCCACAGAAGGAAATAGGGGTAATCTTCACTACAGCAAAGACGGCCATCCAGTTCTAGCCAGAAGCGATTACCTGCATTTTGGAGCGTACTCGGGTGGTCGAAAGTTCAGACGGGTAAAACCATGGGGCCTAAAATCGTTCAGTCTTTATGCATGCGCTTCCAACAGGTTTCCGTGCTTACAGGAAGCCATCCAACGCCGTAGAAGAGCTGGAATAGGAAGATGAAGGCAACTGCTCCAGATGCTGCTCCACTGGAGCCCCTGGTCAACAGTATTGTAACCATGACAAAACAGAAACTCAATCCAGCTGAGCACCACATTAGCAGTACACGACGACCAAACCGGTCCATGAGAAAGACTGGAATTGCGGATCCGACGAGGTATCTAATCTGTGCGCAACCACCTAGGATGAGGGCGAGCTCGCGATCCATGCCCATCGTATCGGTGAAGATCACTAGAACTAACTAGCATGGTTCGAGCAGAATATTGTTGACGGACCTGGCAGGTAGTAATTGATCATGTTGGAGCCACTGAATTGTTGGCCAAGTTGCACGGAGATGGTAAGGATCAGCCGGCGAAGGTTTTGTTGAGAACCCCATGAGAAGAGCTCTTTGAAACGGAACGGACCGTCGCGTTTCTCCTCCTCACGCCCGGACTGGATATCCAGCAAGACTCTTCCAACGGCTTCGTCATCCAGAGGTTTATCTAAATAGCAGCGATAACGTCTCTGCCTTCCTCATATCGGTCGCGTGCAACAAGCCATCGAGGTGTCTCAGGAACTCCGACGATCTGGAGAACAATGAAGACGGCGAAGAACGCTTGAAAGGCTAGCGGGAATCGCCATTGGAAGGAAGACTCGTAGAAACTGGTACCATCTTGTGCATGAAGTCAGCATCTGATCCACGGTCAAGGCAGGGTCGCTCACAGTCAGTCCAGTATGCAATGACAACCCCCAGGATTGTCACCGTCCCTTGAAGTGTCAGGAGAGCACCACGAATGCTGGCTGGAGCGCACTCGCTAAGATATACGGGTGCTGTTGATGAGTTCATGCCGTTGCCAATACCGGTGATGATGCGACCAGCAAGTAGACTGGCAAGGTTCTCCGACGCTCCCAAGAGAATCGAACCAATGATCATTATTGTGGCTCCGGACATGAGCATACTCCGCCGACCAAGTCTTTCGCCGATGAAGTAGGAGATAATTGAGCCTACGACACGTCCAATGTTGTACAGAGAGGTGATATTGCCTTGCATATCGGGATCCGGATTGTTGAAGTCCCGGGCGAATCGATTTTCGGCACCGATGATACCAGACATGACACCTAGATGAGGGCGAGACTTAGCATCAATCTGATGCGTTAGGAGGAGCGCGCATGATGAACTAACCCTGGTCGTATCCCAGCAGCAGGAAGGCCTGGCAGGAGGCCGCCGTGACTGTGAAGACAAGCTTCCTGCCTCGAAAATGATGCTTCCACAGCAAGCCCATAGCGAACAATAATGATTGTTATTATCAACAGTTATCTTCTGGTCAATAAAGCAAGATAATATTGGCCGAGCTTGACCATTGCGACATCAACCCGTTATCACAGAGACTGCCGTCGGCACTTATTAAAGAGCATGCTTCGCGCATAAATATACCGAAATTCCTATGCTTGTCTATTGAGCTGTCAAGAAGATCTACGCTTCCCCAGAAATCCGGGGCAAAGTTTCGGGCAGGGAAGGGGTAGTTGTCGCGTGGAGATGTACCGATCCGTCAACGTCATTGGTCTGTCACACCCTCCCCTCCTCACTACCGGCATGAGATCTCGAATGGAGTAGAATCCGTCGTCTTGGCTCCCAACCCACGAACATGGTTTTAATGATGATTTGATAATCTCAAGCAGCCAGATTGGTCATTAATACAACGCGTCTTCTAGGCGTTCCTCGGTGGCGGGTTGCTTGGTGCTCGGGACAATTGGAACCTTTTAGAGGTTCAAGTCTTGGCTCCTCCACGTGGTCGCCGGCTTCTTCTGAAACAACATCCAGTGTCAACCGTTCGAGCCGGTCAAGTCCCTCCTCCCTCTGGTGTAATGCCAAGTTAACGATGCCCTTCAAGAGATTCGATGATGGCGTAGATTCCTACTCTTGCCAGCGGTCCTATGACATGTAAACACGACGTGCCGGCATGGCTATTATTCACACTGCACAGAAATATGGTGACTCTCTCAACACAATTGGCCCTCACCGCCGGTCTCATGTTTCAGCGCAGTTTTCATAAACGAAGTATCGTTTGGTTAAACAGAAGCCCAGTCCAAGGTGTTGGACCCCTTTGGTTGCAATTAGTGTGCGGGGTTGACGCGTCGGGAAGGGTTCGGCGGCCGCATCCGATTATCTTGCATGATATGTGCCTACCCCATCCGACCGTTCGTTCCACATTGCTATGACGGTAAAGATTACATTTGACTTCCTATCCTCAATTTACTAGAAGTAGATTGCGCCACTTATTGAAAAGGCTTCGCATCTCGAACTTCACTTGTCTTCACATTACCAACATATTGTCAGGCGTTTTTGGTGCATGAGACTATTGAAATGGCTGCAACGACAAACATCGTGGTCCTCGGGTACGATTATTTCTTTATTCTCATCTCTCAAGATCAGAGGAGCTAACTTTGACAGCGCTGGAGTGTCAGGTCTAACAACCGCCCTGCTCTTGTCTAAGAATAAGGCCAACTCTGTCACGATCGTAGTGAAGCACATGCCAGGAGACTATGACATCGAATATGCGTCACCTTGGGCGGGAGCAACCTTCCAACCGTAAGTAAAGTCCACTCAACATTGGCGTGAAAAGAAATGACGAAAGGTTTCAGCATGTCTGAAGAAGAAGACAGCAGATGGGAGCGCCGTACTTGGCCAGAGCTGTCACGTCTGGCATCTTCTGTCCCTGAAGCTGGTATCCATTTTCAAAGTAAGTCATTGTCTTTTATAACTCTAGATACTTAGTATTGGGCTAGTCATACCATTCATATCTTGATGCTCATGTCAACTAGGAACTCACGTCTACCGCCGGAACAAAGACTTTGAAGGCGAAGATGTGCCGTTTGGGCCACTTTTCTCTCCAAACTCATGGCTTCGCGACCTGTTCTCGGACTACCGCGACCTAAAATACGAGGAACTTCCCAAGGGAGTAGACTCTGGGTTTGATTACACAGGTGTTTGTATCAACACATCTATTTATCTGCCCTGGCTAGTTGGCCAATGCAGAGCTCAGAGTGTAGTCCTCAAGCGCGGTGCAGGTTATCATATCGACGACCTAAAGACGATGCACCACAGCGGAAAGCCTGCCGATGTCCTTGTCAATGCTTCCGGTCTTCAGGCTCGTGATTTAGGGGGCGTTATGGATAGATCCCTTGTCCCAATCAGAGGCCAGACTGTCCTGGTGCGCAATGAAGCAGGACCTCTCTACAACATATCGGGAACGGATGACGGAGATGCCGAAATCTCGTATTTGATGATGCGCGCATCTGGAGGAGGTACTGTGTTGGGCGGCACTTACGACAAGGGAAATTGGAGCCCGGAGCCTGACATGAACATTGCCAAGCGGATCATCAAGCGTTGTGTGGCGTTGTCTCCTCAGCTTGCGAATGGAAAGGGGTTAGAAGGTGTCGAAATCATAAGACACGGAGTTGGCTTGCGGCCCTGGAGAAAGGACGGTGTCCGACTGGAGACGGATTTCAATTTGTCAACAAAGGAAACTCTAGTGGTCCACAACTATGGACATGCTGGCTGGGGATACCAAGGCTCTTATGGTTGCGCTGAGTACGTGATTGAGCTTGTCGAAGGTTTCCAGAAGGATAGAAACGTCGTCGATAAGGCAAAACTTTGAACAACTACTTTTCCTGTAGCTATTCTACCTTATCGTCGTACTTCAATCGTCGTCGTCGCTTCTATAGTTATTATCGATTCTATTATCGCCGTCGTTTATACCGTCGTTATCGTCCTCATCGTCCTCGTCCTCGCTAATACTATCGTCTCGGACAGGTATGATTAAATACATAGGAAATATAGCCGCGTAGACACAGGCAAAATAGGCGGTCTCGGTTATTAGGCAGCATTATTCCACCTAAGGCGTGATCACGCGGAAAGACAAATGTTTAGAACGGCTCCACATACAATTGTATGAAGGATTCCAGTTGGCACCAGTCCAAGTAAGACCATAATGGTTTGGGTTGTATTTGGTGAAGTCAAGTCTACTCCGAATTTTGCAAGACGCCTCAAAGCCTTGGGAAGATAAAACTTCAATCTACGATTTCCCCTGCCCGCTTCTAACCCAATCGCTGACTCCCTTGGTTGCGCTCGCCTCTGATAGAGACATCTAGAAGTTACAGCAATGAAACTTCCCATCCGACTGTGTGTGGCAGTCTTTGCTGAAGCATAGACCCTTGCAGTTGGAGTACGTGTCAAAGCCTTGAGGCTGGCATGCCTTAGCAGCCTGAGGGGCGGCGCTGACGGCGGTTGCTGCAACGAGGCAGAAGATGACTTCGAAGAATCTCATGCTGGAGCTGCACATCATGTTAGAGAATATGATACCAACAGAAGCATCAGTTCCTGGAGATACTGACTTGGTGGTGCGTATGCGCGCGTAATGAAGTTTTCTTGATATTTGGCAAGAGCCGAAAGACTGATAGCTAGTTTGGAGGCCTTGGAGTTCCTGTAGTTGATGATCTGCATACAATCGGGGAAAGATATTCTGCCTATTTATATTTGGACTTCTTCCATATCACCTGCAAACTTCGTGATATATAGTTTACCAAAGCGAGTCATTTCTCAAATTCTCCTCTATCTGACAAGCTTTCTTGCATTCCATGGGTATAGGCTATTTTGAACCCGAAGCCATCGTGAAAGCTGAGTTCTAGCCCATGTTGTAGTTACAGGTGGGAGCCCAGCCAATAACTCAAACCTCCCGTCGACTGCCATATACTTGACTTTGTGCTACGGTGGTGTCATGAATGGGGCCTCCATGTCTGATAAGTCGCCGCCGCTAAGTTATCCTGCGTCTTGCATGGCGGGGCCTCCGGGCGAGAAGCTTCCCTCTAGAAGTTAGGCGCCGGCTGGAGAAAAGCGCGCCGAGCTGACAAGAACTCAGGTGTAGCCGGAGATAAAGACAAGCTCGTGTCTTCGGGTGTTATGAACTATCACTTTCAGAGTCTGCAAAGTTTCTGCATGCAATTACTATTCAAGTACGCGTAATCAGACAATTTCTAGAACAGAAAAGAGTATTTCCTTTTAAGGTTTCCAGTCCTCTGACTAGTCATGAGTGCTTGGATGCCCATGGCCTTAAGGTTTGAGCAAGTAAGACGGCATGAGAACAATTTCTGAGGGAAACATACGGCAGAGGATTACGAAATATCCGGCCCTTGTCAGTTCCGAGTCATTTCCCCTAGGGCGCAAGAGAGTGCGACGAGCTCGTTAGGAGGCCGGTATGGCCGCGTAACTTATTTAAGCTCGGTCAGAAGTTCTCTCTGCCATCTGAATGCGGAGAACCCTTGAATCTCGAACGATTCCAGCAGACTGGTCAGAAAGCTTATTTTGACTTTCAACTCCTTTATCCAAGCTCTAGACTATTTTTGAACTCGGCGGTGAATAGATTCTACAAGAAAGTGTCACGACCAGATAGCTTCTCACGTTTATATGTTGACAAGAACATGAAAGCCCCCGTGGGAACTGGTGGTGATGATTCACCGTGTGTACAGATACAGCCTATGGTGTATCTCCCAGCAGTCTATCAAATCTGCCGTAGATTTTCTGGCTACTCCATCTACTAGCGGGCTTCGGCTCCCATCCGCAGTAGTTCGAAGCTTATTTGATCGAGCTACTGTCCGGTCCGAGCAGGTCGTGATGGCCGGCATGGGTGTCACGGTGTCCCCAGCGCATCGAGCTAATGGAACCGCTACCCTACCACGCTCTTCAACCTGGGTGACCATAAGCGCATCTTATCCGGAGAGACCCAGCTTCAATCTAAGGGAGTGGCTTAGATCCGACGGGCCAGGCGCATTGCCATCTTCGTCTCGAATTAAGCCCTCTCTTAGAGCACCCGGTAGATGACGAGGACACACAAGACTTCGCGTTTCACCGTCCACAATCTGCTTAATGCTCTGTTGTTCGTTCTACACAGCCATTACACAGCCCAGAATGCCAAAGATAAGGCGGATCAACTTTCCACGCTCGTAACCATTGTTGCCCATTCCTTCGTCGCGAACGGCCAAATGGGGATCGCAGTTGAGAGCCGGCTGTGGAACAACCTGTGATAGCTTCTATGCAAAGTAACCCTTCTCCAAGATAATCGGCTGTGATTCTAGGGCTGCAATCGCTTGCTCACACTTTATGAAACCGAAAGCATTTACCAAACGCCTCCAGACTGTTGTTTTGGCCCCGGCTCCTAGAGGTCTGTCCATCACTCCACTATCCAATACCAACTTGGCGCAGATTCCCGAAGTGACAACTCGTCTATCTGATCATCAGGATCAGGTGTGACAACCCACGCAAGCAAGCAACATATTTGAATCTTTGGAAGGATTTGGCCGACATACGGCCTTGTCAATCACGCCGTCACGTCTCGTAATGACGACAGCATTAGAGCGTTCGTATTTCAGCCGTTATTTCAGATCGTTAGACGATTTCTGAGGGTTTGCTTCTCTCAATTTGTACTTTTGTTCACGCGTTTACAGTTGCTCAAGATTGTCTTCCCCTTTGTCCCTTGTAGGATTTGTAAAGGCAATGGCCAAAGACAAGTCTGGAGAGTCTATGATGCATCAGCCTTCCGCTCCTTTCTGGTAGGACAAACATTTGGTGCGGGAACATGGAACGGGGTGTCTATTGAACCGAATTTGACAACCACGGTTGGCTCCTGTAGGGTCAGTATTAAGTACTACGTCATTGGCATCACCATCCAGCTCCTGCCTAATGGATTTCAGTGTAGTTCAGGTATGACTTGTGTAATGATACGACGAGAGTTACCTACTACTGTTTGTATGTATGGAGACATTGGGGTATTTTAGACAGCTCCGGATTTGAAGATGATGTTTGACAGTAGAGGTGTCACAGATTTAACCAGCTTGAGCAAAACACATACATAGGGGATAACACTGTTCTTCTTGAATCAACTCGAATCTTTGACTTCACAGTCAAGCAACAACTAGATATCAGCCCAAATACAACAGTCAAGGCAAGCTATCATTCTTCCTCAGCTTCCAAAAGTCCACTTTTTCTGTCAACCCGTCCTCTGGCCTATTTACTAAACCACTCCCGCAGACATTCATCTCCCAACCATGCGTTTCGCCACCTCCCTCATCATCTCCGTCCTCGCCATCACCGCACAAGCGGCCGTTGCTAATGATGATTCGATTGCCGTGGCCCCGCGCGAGGAACTCGTCGACCGGCAAAACCAGGTCTTCTCGCTTAACAAACGGGACTGTGTAAAGACCGGGTGCAAGTGCGACACCCGCGGCTACCAGCGGAGAGTCTGCGGGGCCTGCAAGCACCCGGACACCAAGAAGTACATCGTCACGAGGAAGAGGGCCAGAAACCACATATACGAGTGTTCCGCTGATGGCGAGTCTTGTTGTGACTATGGGGTTGCTGATGATTGTGGCAAAAAGGGGCAGAGATGCCTTTTTGTCTAGGGTGGTTTACAACGCTACGGAGGGATTTTGATGACAATTGGCAATGGTAAACCGTTTCGAAGGATTGTTTCCTTTTTCCATTCATTTTCTCAGAAGGTACTAGTCACTCTCTTAGCGGACTTTGAATACGGTATGCACAGCTTAGCTATCAGTAGAGCCTATCCAAGGCAAAGATCAACGTTATCCAAAATTGTCAACGACGTTTTACATCTGCTTCTGCTGCCCTTGAAAATCCTCGGGAAGATGATGCCCTAGTCAAATGATACTATCAACGCATTCATCCTCAAAGTATCCTAAAAGAATATTGAAGACCCATCAAGCCAGGCAGCGTTGATGAGACAGCCAAAGACAAGTGACCCAGAGCCCATATTTGGTTTCAATGCACAGCACTTGGTTTTATGATTGTAAACTCCATCTGTTTCTGTCGGCTTCATGATGATTCTGAAAGAGTTTAAGACTTTGATGGTATGGCAATACCGAGCCACCTGAGGGAAGATGTTCCCCGGGCAGTTTGCAGTAATGTCTGTCGGCATGGCTCACGGGGGAACATGACTGCGGCCTCAGGACCTCATTCATGACGGTGAACGCTCTAGTAAACAAAGAATCTTTTCTCTTTTGTTTTGATTTCATCCTCGTAGCTTCCACGAGATTCTCTTCCCTCAGACCTCCTCACTTGCTACCACTCATCCTCGAGCTTCGATCATAGGCTCGTCCTGACACAGATGGCGGTCAGCAACCATCAATCCTCCGAAGATGTGGGCATGGCCGACGCTCCAGAGAAGCCCCCCGCCACGCCCGAAGAGCGGGAAAAGTTCATGGAGCAGTAGTTCGCCAGCGTGTTGCGCCAAGAAAAGCGCACACTCCGGAGCTTCTACGATGCCCAGGAAAAGGGCGCTGCGAAGTGGCTCGTCAACAGAGGTGTTCAAGTTGTCTCGGCGTCCTGGTTCGAGTGGGAGGTTCACGTGAAGGTCTGGGCCAAACTTTCCGCTACAGGTTTGTCATCATTGCCTCCCTTTTCCATTGACCCGTACATCCTAACCGACGAACAGGGCCGAAACCTACCCAGCAGACCGACGTCGGAGAGTTTCCTTGGATATATGAAGAGCCCAGAATGGCTCCAGCGAGCCCTACCGACGCGTCCCAGTTGTTCGCCGAGCTCAGACTCGCAATCATCCGAGAGAACAGCCTGCCGGCCCTCACCCGCATCGAGAAACGTCTTCCGTTGATGAACGAGGAGCCGGAGATGGCGCGCAACTTCAGGGGCGGAATGGACCTTGCGCTCCGCCAGAACATCTGGGATGATGTCTTCCTCGGCGAGCCTTGTGTGCCTGGCCATCCCTTCGAGGTAGTCATCCCCTTCGCTGAGAAGCTCCGGACTCACGGTGTCCTCGATGCCGACGAGCTGCGAAACCACCTCCCCGCCGCTGTTCATGGTCGAATCATCCGTCGCCTTAACCCCAGCGGACACTACGTATCTGTCATCGTCTTCGGCCTCGCCCCCAACGCCTTCGATAACCCGATGAATCGCATGAACCTGGCTCTGAGCTACAACATGGCGCTCAACTGGGCCAGGAAGATCGTCGTCACCGGCACCAGCTGCCCTGCTTCCGATGCCTTCAAGAACTTCATGATCAGGCCCGTTCAGAAGCAAAGCGAAGGTGCTTCGCAGGTCGTTGGTGTGGCAGAGCAAAGAGCGTTCACTGATGAAGAGCTGAAGCAATGCGAACACGCCCTCGCGCTCATGCCGTGGACCTCTGAGGCGGACCATGCCGCCTACCGCGTGGGCCAATGGCTGCAGCAGCAAGTCGCCCTCACCCCGGTCCAGGATCGCTACAACCTTTTGCGAAAGTGGTGCCAGCAGAAGCACACCAATCTCGAGAACCTCACGTCGGCTGAGCTGGGAGATGCCTGCCGCCGTGCTTGGGAGAAGAGGGTTTCGGAGTGGATGACTGAGCGCGAGATCACTAGCTGGCCATGGAACATGGAGACCTTCTACGCGAGACAGATTGCAGCCGTCGACTCTTGAAAAAGAATCCGAAGCTAGAAGAGGAAATTCAGCACCGTCACACAATTCCTGTGGGAGATTCTGGATGGTTCAGAAGCGACAAAAGACAACAAGAGGGCTTTGTATTGATCATGTCCATACGCTTTGTATTTACCCCCATAGCACCCGTCTAATTACGTCCCAATCACGCTTTTTTTCCTTTTACACAATCCCGTCCGATCCAAGCGCCCCTCCAAAACCCCCGTTTCAGATGACGTTCTTCAGCGGCTGGCCGGCCAGGAACCGTCTCAAGTTGTACGCCGTCAGGGCCTCCGCACCCTGGGGCCGGCCGCCAGCAGCGTGCGGGGAAACGATAACGTTCGGCGCCTTCCACAGCCGACTCGACTCGGGCAACGGCTCCGTGACAAACACATCCAGCGCGGCGCCGCCGACCTGGCCGGCCTCGAGCGCATCCACCAGCGCGTCCTCGTCGACGGAGGTGCCGCGGCCGACGTTGACGACCCAGGCGTGCTTGGGCAGCAGCTTGAGGCGCTCGGCGTTGAGGGCGTTCTTGGTGGCGTCGGAGCCGGGCAGGATCATGACGAGGGCGTCGGTCTCGGGGAGCAGCTCGGCGAGCTTGTCCTCGCCGTAGACCTCGACGCCGTCGCGCACGCCCTGGCCGCGGGCGATGCCCTTGACCTGGGCGCCGAGGCCGCGGAGGTGCGGGGTGAGCGACTTTGCGATGTTGCCGAAGCCCCAGATGAGGACGCGGGCGTCGCGCAGGGTGGTGAAGGCGCCGGCGGGGCGGTCGGGCTGGGGCCCGCCGAGGTGGCCGGGCCACTTATTCTGCAGCTGGTAGTCGCGCATCTCGTAGAAGCGACGGGCGGCGTTGAGGAGGAGGCCGAGGGCGTGCTCGGCGACGGTGTGGTCGTGGAGGCCGGAGCCGGTGGTGACGGTGATCTTGGTGGCGTCGAAGCCGGCGTTGAGGACGTCGTTGGGGCCGGCGGCGAGGGACTGGATCCACTTGAGGTTCTTGAGGCGGCCAGCGGCGTCCTTGAGGTTGTCGGCGGAGTTGGTCCAGGTCACGAGGATCTCGGCGTCGGTGTGCTCCTCGGGGATGGCCGTCTTGACGTCGTACGGGACGAGCTTCACGGAGAAGCCCTCGAGGGACTCGATGTCGAGCTTGAGGGAAGTCGGGTAGAGGAGCTTCATGGCGGCGGTGGTATCTGGGGCTGGATCTAGAGTTGATGTCAGTATTTGGCCCGGCTCAACTTGTGGTGTTGGCAGATGGAGGGTTCGAACCTTGGGATGCGGGATTAGGGATCTGGTGAAAGCAAAAGGATCGTGAAACTGGAAAAGAAAACGTGCGTGGTGAAGAGACCTGGGTTGTATGGGGTTTTACCTACTCGGCTACAGATTGGCCGACCGACAGCGATGACGGAGGAACGGGATAGCCGCGATTTCGTCTAAAACAGCGTGCTACTTCACCAGTGTTCCCTGCCATGGTGGGGGAATACACCACACTACGACGCTTTGGAGGCACAAAGTGGGGGGTAGTGCCCCTCCCCCTCACGACAAAATGGCGGGGTTCTCTGGAAATGAGGGACGAACACCGACACTGCGATGCCCCGACTCGCCGCGAATTGCCGTCAAATACGTGGTGGCCCACGCTTGGGCGCACCCAAATCATCTCTGACTCGTCCAAACGAGCAAGGAAGGTTGAGAAGACATCGGAAGAAATTGCTCTATTGGTCAATCGATGAATAGCCGGCACAAACACCGAGATGGTGTGCCACTCTCTGCCATTTTCCCGGATTTAAATCCGTGTCGGCAATGGAACCAACCTGTCTACACAGGTCCCCCAACCCCCATCCCATCGTTCCATGATGCATCAGGCTTCTCCTCGTGACCGATCGGTGTGTGGTGATTCACCTTCGCCATCGGCTATCTACCGACTAGCCGTGCTAAGCTTCCGGGTATCGCATGCTCGCAAACCCATCGGCTCCGGCCAGCCGCACTGGATGAACCCGTCCAAGATACGGAGGCACGGTTGGAGGAGTCCTGTGTGAGGGTTCTCGCTGCCTTTAATGGCCGCTGTTAGCTTTACGAATGAGATTCATGCCTCTTGTGTCGACCACTAATAGTCTCAAGGTTCTCTCGTAACCTTTGACGATCGAGATCGGTAGCCGGTTGCCTCCCGTCAGAAGACTTTCGGATCGGGAAGAGGTTCGGCTCGGTACTCCTTTGTGTGATTTCAAACCAATCTTATGATGCCGTGAGGGATCAATGACTAGCAGAAACTGCTTTCAATGACGGGTTGTCAAACGTCCATCTCGATGGCTACAGTGTAATGACTCTTGGTCGAAGGATGCTCGTATGGTTTGAAATCTGGCGCAGGATTTCCAGTCCACAATTCCACAACAGATGTGTTGAGGATAGCCTTTCCGCGCCAAGGACGGTAACAGTTCGATATTCTTTCTGTGAAGGTCATCGTCTGTGATGCCACTCGGACGTGCTGTGTGTGTGGTTCTGGAAGCACAGGCTAACTTGACCTGGAAAATCTCTCGGAGGTCTTTTTCAGAGTACTTGAGCTTTCAAGTCCTTGGTAGCATGCATCATGTTACATTTCCCTTCGCTCTGATGTATAGAGGAAGGTTTCCAGGGGCGAGGAAAGGCTTGCCAGCGGACACACGCCGAGGTGTCTGCCTCGTCCCGAGTTTTGCGACATTATCGGGTCGGAACAATGAACGTTTTTTCAACTTCTTTTGGTGTTAGGTATTGAGGAGTCAGACTCGAGTGATGAAAGTAAGACCAAATGAGTAAAGAGAAGAGAGAGCCGATAAGGGGCTAGGAGAGGAAGGGATATTTATACCCGCTGAGCCCCTGAGACAATATCACGCGATGTATGCAAGTCTTCTTGGCCACCTCAAGCAAAGTACATGCTTTGAATAACATTCAACGTCGACTCAATGGGAATTTTGCCATTACTTTCGGGTCTTTGAAGGTGTTGGCCCACAGCAAAGTCTTCCTCCACAAAGTCTTCCTCCAATGCACCACAGGACTACCCCATAAACCCTGACGGACCAGGGTATTTCTCATCAGCGGACGCCGTCAGCTCTCCCCTGATACGCTTAGACATAACAACCTCTATTCGCTAGAGAAGCCCATGGATCTTTTCTGATTGGGTAAAGGTCCGTAGCCCACCAGCACTCCATGGGATACCACGTCCTGAAGGAGTAGATGGGCAAGGAAGGATCCGTTCTAGACTTCCAATGAATTCCTGAATCAGTAAAGATCACCTGCCTGGGCTGTTATTCGTTGATTTCAGTGTGGGGACTCTGCAGTAGCGTCAAGCCTTGCAAGTTGGTCCTCTTCATCCATAGTATAACGTATCTACTTACTGGAATAAGGTGTAAATCCATGAGAAGCAGACTTCGATGAGCTACTACATTTCTCTTGATTCTCTTGTGGCCCGGACTGATCATCATCATCAGGCTTTGAGAGCTCCATGGTATGTGACGTGGCTGCTGCCGCAGCTGTTGGAGCAAGGGTTGTGTTTGCTTCTCGCATGTTGGAAGCCAACGCAGAACCAACAAGCAACAGCTGAGACAACATTTTGGGCCAATCATGAATCAAAATAAGATGAGAAGGATCCGCAACTGAAATCCTATCCACGACGTCTAATTTCTAGTCTTTTGTCGTTCGTTTTAGCTGATAGCATTGCATTCGCGATCTACGACGCATTCCGGTTGGGCGAGGCGTTCTTTCACGACAACACGCTTCCATTGAGTACCATTGTTTTCACAATGCGTTTCTTTACTCGCCATTCTAAATTCCTCTGAGACTTGACGCCTAATCTTTCGCTCTTGGAAATTCCCCGTAAATCGGTCTTTCGCGGTCGCGTCGCAACCATGGCCCTCTCAGTTACCCCTTTTCTCTCCGCGTCCACGACAGGCGACGAAACCACCACATTTGTCACTGCGACAGTTGTAAAGACCGCAGTCGTCCGTTTGAGTCGATCTACAATAATCTTCACGCTTGGTACTGATTCCGGTCTTTCCACTGCGCAGACGACTTCTGCAGAAACGACACGTGTGGATGCGACAACTTCTGTGCCAACGGAAGCCACCTCGACGACGACGACGACGCCTGAGCCCACCACAACGTACAGTTCCGCCCAATCCACAACTGCCGAGTCAAATTCGACGACGTCAAGTTTGTCTACCACGACCTCAACACCTGCATCTACTGGCATTCCCCTAGCGACGAGCATCGGAGTGGGCGTCGGCGTGGCTCTCGGCATCCTTTTGCTAGCAGCTGTTGGCTTCTTCATGTGGTACAGACGACGCAAACGCAAGAGCAACATGCAGGCATCTACGGTTGCCGAGACGGGACAAGCGGATGGGTTTCGGGCGGAGAAGGCAGGTGTCAACGAGCTTGACGGGGCACATACGGAGAGATTCTGGGGACGTGCTGAGCTGCCGGCTGGCCACCGCTTATCGGAGCTGGATGCTGGGCCTGTGAGCTCGGCATCTACGCCGAACGCCTTCGGCCGGAGATCGGAGATGGCGGCAGACGATACCCTGATGGCACAGAGATAGAATGCCGGGACACGATTTGTGCCGTGATGGGGAAGTAATGCGTTGGATCCATACGACTTTCTTGTTAGCTCAATCAACACTAATTTTCTGAGAACCTCAAAATTTAATATACGGGTCAGTTCAACCTACGTGAAATCCCGTAACAAACCATGAAGGTAGAGAGTTCCAAAAGGTCTTCGAGAATAGGCCCCGGCATCTGGGTTCGAGTTTCTGGGCCCATCTAGATACCCGGAGGTCACTAAACGATGCTTCTTTTCTTTCTATTCTTTCCAGTTGTTTCGAGACCAGATTTCCAGATACAAGAGGTGCATGAGAGTTTTTCCCAGCACCCGAGTTCTGACCATCAATATCCCGAGTCTTTGCCACATCTTTCAATGTTGACGCCTCTGTTTCTCTGAGTATCAAAGTTTTTAGAACTTCTAACAAACGACCCTCTGGTCATGAGAACTCGATTGGTTCCCAACATATACCTCTCAAGTCGCTGTCATGTATCAAGACGGACGGAGAATATGTTCATCCATATATGCTACTGTGGTGGCTTACATGGCTTGAGTTGACGTGCTTATCCTGAAAGTTTAGTTTAACCTCAAACACAAATGCAAGACCCATCGAGGTAGCATTATGACTACATCTTTCAACTCATCTCAGTACCTATCATATGCAACAAACAGAGACACTAAATCAGTGAGAATCTTGTTGGTGTTCCATGGAAGCATGAATATAACTAATATGTACTTGTTCAGTTGAAGTTATCAAGTAGCTCATGCAGTTGTGTGGACACGATTGGCTCTGTAGACTCTGCGTTGCTCGAAAGGTGACTTGAAGAGTCTACTGATGCTGAGTCCTTCTTCACACTATGATAGACACACAAACTCACGATGACTTCTCAGAAATGACCGAAAAATGTAATTTCATTGAAGGATTCATTCTAGCCCAGTCATCAACCATGTTAGCCAGAGCTACGGTTAGGTTGAATATTATTATGCTTCCAAGCAGTACCCAAACTTCATGTTGATGATACTCTTGGAACATCATGGTACCCAGTTTCTAAACAGTCCGTGTCCAAGCCAGCCCTGGATTCACGACTCTGGCACGACTGGGGGACTAACTCCACCAGTAATGCTCCAGGCTTTGCCCTCGGCATGATACCTGAAGATGTACTTGCAGCTTGATGAACATGCACGTCAGCCTCGTACAGATTTTGTTTCGAGCTCGTCGCGGCCAAGCTCATGAATGATTGGGTTCCAAGTATGTTAAATCTGGGTACGACACCCAAGCAAGCTTCTTCATGCTGCCGATCAAAGAAACGAGATCGTAGCCAGTCTGATGCACCACACCATCACATCCTATTAGCTCTTATTCCAGATGCAATATGCCCGTCATCATTTCGATTTCCTTGAAGCTCTGCAAATAGTTTTGAGGCTCAACTGCAATAAGACGGGCCTGGTCTTATCCCCACGTTCGCCGCCTTGCATTCATTCATTGGCACACGTGGTGCAGATGCAACACAGCACTTACATGATGGTCAATTCGTTGGGATTCTTGCATTTCTTCTGCCGTCACATATACAATTACAATTACAGACTCCAGTTGCTTCCTTCGTACGACACCCTTTTGTCAATTCAGACCTCAACATTTAACACACCGCTCATCAGGCTCCGGCTACCGGCGCTGGAATTGCATGTGGCTTCCGCTTCAAGACCACCGGTGTGGTTTCCCCTCATCTTAGCACCAATGTTGTTGTGATAAGCCATGCAGGTGCCCATACCACATCACATTTCCTGGCCTCACCTGACAGTATCGGGTCGCCTGATAGCCTGCTTCCAGTTGCCTTACACTCTATGAGTGCTTTGAGTCTACCTACTTTTTGGAATGGTCTTCACGGTCCCCAAGAATTGCTTGTCTTATTTGTACCAAGATATTTTACTTTTAATTATGTACACCTGCCTCATGATGCACATGGCTTGCAACAGGGTGCATATTCTGGCAGGCTTCCATTATTCCAATACGGCATTTTCAACAATATCAGCCAATGCGCAGCTTCACCACTCAGGCATTGGCCCACGGCGAGTAGCTCAAGTGATTTCCTGCATCAGTGAGGCCACGTCAGGCTTCTGCGCCGAAGGCGATCCCTTACTGAGGGGTTTTTGATATGAGAGCTGCTGCGCCACCTTGTCGTCGTATTATGTCTACTTCGAGAAACAACAAGTTCACTGCTTTCAACCCCTATTCGGCACATCAGATGATCTGATAATGATCTCGGTGAGGAAGCAGCCACTCAAACGAAGGCTTATATGGTGATTTGCCTGGCATTTTTGCCCACCCACCTTCAACGAGAAAGTCAGAAGCTTGATCACAATACGACGGACGAAAATCATGGACATTGTAAGCAGAGATCGACTGGAATCGGTGGCTGTCGGAAGGTTCCACTGGGACCAACAGCGGGGATTCGCTGCTGCCTGGATGATATGCAGCAGTGCGGCAAGGGAGCTCTCAAGCTCAAGCCCCGCTGATGTTGCCCCTGATGTGAGAGTATGAGCAAGCGCCATCAGAATACTCAGATCGTTGTTGAATCAAGTGCCTGCGGATGTTACTCATGGAGTGGGCAGAAATACAGGCAACCCGAGCTAAGAGGAAACGATATGAGTTGCAGGCGCCAATTGCGAAAATAATACCGAAGCGAACTACATTGTCGGAACCATCCTTGGATTGACACAGCGCGTGGGAAATTCGATCAAGATTGCAGATGCTAGCTGCCTGCGTAACAGGGGATGATCCGAAACTAATACCCCTATGGGCCCCAGCGCATGCCATCGCAGCCAGCGTCTCACACACCCGCTACTGGCGATTGAACGAAAGGCAACCAGACTAATACCGGCTCGTTGCCTTCCGCGCGCTCTTCAATTATGCCGCATGCGCCAGTCGTATGTACGCCAGCAGTAGCTGAAGCAAGCTGAAGCTCTCAGCTCAAAACTGCCAGAGAAACTATCGCCCCCAAACGCCGCTCCTAATGCACCACAATACTTAAATCGCTGGCTGCGCAAAGTCCGCTGTGGCTTAGGCGAGAGGTGCCTCGATACCTTTCCGTCATCATTCCTTTGCGCGGCGAAAGAACGGGGCGTTCAGTGCCCGGGAAGACTGACGCAAAATCTAACACAGGAGGCTGGCCCACCGTCGGAACCACAATAAGGCAGAACAGGCAACCGTTCTGCCTAGACGGATATTAAATCCGCAACAAGGCGTCAAGCGACAAAGACCGAGGTTTCATTATCAATTCCATCTTCAGACATGCTTCTCGCTCGTGGGATGCAAGGATAAAGACGCTAGTGAAGGTTCCGGGGGCTCGGGGTGCATTCTTCAGCGATGCTGCCACAGACCGAACTTTCGGTGTCCGGGTGCCGTTCCCACATCAAGCACGAAATGGACTCGGCTGGCTTTCGTGTGAACGTGACGGCCGTGAAGCCGCAAACAGATGTGGAATTTGTGTTTCAATCGTGTCAAATCAGTGGGAAGTTCCTTTCTGCCTAGCACCTTTTGCAGGTTCTCGGGTCCCTCGGTTAGTGGACAGGTAATGGCTGGACTGCGGCGCTGCGCCTACAGGGATGACGATTCAACGCCCTTTCATTCCTACAAAGGCAACGAATAGCATCATAGCCTGGTTGCCTTGAAGGCTGTGTGGAAAAACTCTGAAGCTTTTCCTGTAGTAACCCTGCAGGCTGGCGACTGCAAAGACGTTGTCCGTGGCTGAAGCATACAAATCGCATGTGGACAGAGTTGGTCAATGAGAGATCTATTTTTGTAGAAAACTTTAAGCAACGTGCGTCCAAGAGAACAAATGTATGAATAATCTGGATTCTACCTAGTCATTATTGTCAAACTCGAGACAAGAAACAAATCAATGCTCACCATCATACCAGTGATAAGTAGTACCCTTCTAAGCTCTGGAAGCTTTGCATCTTGATGAAGTTTCCCCACTTCTCATTCCATTCTTTTCTAGATTGAAAGTGGTCTATCTAGTGTTCTCCCTGTTTATATGCAATATGTTAAGTTGTGCTAGGGTTGTAGTTAGCCGCCAACCCTCGAAGACCTTTAAGTAGCCCCAAGCAGCAACAGACGAGGTTTTCGACATAAATTTGTTTCTAGTTGGATAGCGGAGGCTCGCCTAGTCCTTATAAATAAAGCTTTCAATAGTTTCACTCCAGCCGAGTTAAGCCCGCCGCTCTAAGAACTGCCATGCTTTCTTAGCTCAGGAACCCTTTGAATCCTAACTATGACTTTTGGTCAAACCTGGGTTCAAGTGACAGCACAGAGTCCACGAATATCGTTCAACGTTGTCCTCGTGAACTGTCACTCATTGATCTGTAAGTACTAGATACGTATAGGTACGCTTCTTGAGGCCAGCAAGAGGAAAGGTTGCATATGATCGTTCTATCTGCAGGATGAGTACCTCATGAGACAGGCATATCAAGGAGGATGAAGATCATCTTTTCAGCTGTGGAAATTGAAACTAATTTCTTCGAAAACATCTATATATTTCTGAGGTCAACTAGCTAACTTTCTGGGTTTTGTTCACAAAAGCTGCTGAGGTTGACTCTCCTGGTGAGATCCTGCTCAAATATGTTACACAGTTCTCAGTTTAATACGCTGTCGTTGACATATATTGACGCAGTCTTCGTGGCATAGTCTTAGCCGGCTTGAACATCTACTCGTGACTGTTGATATTGGGCAACCCAGTGAAGCATGTCAAGTCAGGATGCTGCCTGTGGGGTTTTATATATAAAAACAGAGCAATTGGCAATTTCATCTGGTGACCTGAATTATACAGAAATTTTATTCGTCTATGAAATTGGTATCAAATTGATGCAGGTGAGAACGCCGCAGCAATGCAAGCTCCTAACGCCAAGTGTTAGTTTTGAACCCACCCGGAGAGCAAGTAAATTACCGTGTCCACAATCCCTAATGCTGTTATGCGCCTTGGTATTGCACCGCCATCAAAGATCTACCTGTCAACCCATATGTGTTGATCAAGTGTCATCGCACAGCGGATATCTTTGACCTTGTCTGGCAAGTCACTTAGTGCAGCACATGCGGCTTCTCTCCAAACTCCCTTCAGGGTTGGATAGGTTGGGCTGAAATTAGCCCAACCATCCAGTCCAAGCTCCAGTCCAGCTGTATAGCTTGGACTGGATACAACCGAGAAGGTCGATAGTTGAAGACCACGGAAGCTAACTCATCGCTGTGTTATTACACAGGCGAGGACCTGGGTCACACCCCGCAGTGCGATGGGGTATAAAGGATGCAGAGCCATCTGGCTCCACGCCTGACAACCAGAAGGTCTTATCCAACAGGCGCATCCGGAATGTCCACATCGCCATCATCTCCTCTTCCCCATCTATTGGGTTGTGTCGGTGTACCACTATCTGTTTCTGAAACCGTTGGCAAGTTGGCAATCTCAACAGCATACTGCGATGCGACGCTGAACTGCCTCAGGTTCTTATCGTACGTAAGCCACGCGCCTGTCGAGGCCAAACGAACTCCCAACCAGAGACAACGGTCCTGCCTCTCTTCCATCATAGAAGCTACTTCGAAATACTTCTCTTCGTCATCGATCTTCGCGGCGGTGAACCAGTCGGCGGGGTAGTACTTCTCTACCCAGAGAAGCCCGCGCTGGGCGAAATCGTCGGGTAGCGGGCGTGGGCTTTCCTTCTCATTTCGGGGAAAGGCCTCACCCTCAACCTTGTCAAAACGTGAGCAAGTGCCGACCAGAGTGTTGAGCATGAGTGAGATGAGCTTCCAGGGGATCTTGGACTCGATATGAGCCATTGCAACGGGGAATTTGGAAAGATGGTGGAGGAAGGAAAGCGTGACGTGAAGATAGGGGGTGACGCTGGGGTCGCCGAAACGTCTGAAGACGACATCGTGCGTGCGGCAGGTGAAGTCAAGGGCATCAAGAAACTTCTGGGATGGTGCGGCAGCTTCAACCCCTTGCATGGCCGTATCTGGTTCGTCGGCGCGCGCTCCTGACTTGATCGTTCGCATGATGACATTAGATTCGCTGCCATACTCCAGAAGGGAGCATCCAAGGGCAATCCCAATGTAGTAGCCACTCTCCATCCATCGTCGCGTGGTCCGGCCAATGTGGTTGTCGAGACTACCGATGAATTCGTCGACGGAGGGTGCGAGTTGTTCTTGGTTGCGGCCAGAGAAGAGGATGCCGTGAGCCCGGACGAAGGCAGCATCGATCTCTTGGAGACGTGTTGGAGATCCGTTGAGATGAGGCTCAAACAGAGTCATGATGCTCTCGCGGGCTGAAAGAAAGGGAATAGGAACACACAAACTCTTGGTGTAATAGAAGAGCTGTTGAAGCGCGTTTGGCCGCGCAAGAATTGCTAGATGATGGTATAACCTGCCAGTTGTGGGTGCCTTGTCGCTTGCTTTGGAATACCAGTGCCTGCTGACAGAAGTCCAAACCTCGCGGTCCTTCAGATCATCATCCTCAATTGCCATACTAGATACGAAGTCAGAACTCATGTCATTCAGTCCCGTCACGTGAAGGCTGTCAGATGCTGCTGCTCACGTACCGATATCTTCCCAGATCACCCAAACACTCGATCCACGTGTCTTCAAAAGTGGGGACCGTTTCATACAACAAGGCCATCATTGAGTAGGCCAAATATATAAAGGTCAACATGTGCTCCAGCGAAGCAGGGAGACGGTGCCGCAGAAGCTCAAGGAAGCTGTGAATTCCGTGCCTCCACATCCGAGCAGGCATAGCGTACTTGCTTGCTAACCTCCTCAGGGCAGGGCTGGCGGACGGGTGCTGCGAAGCCAAGAAAAAGTCGTGATGCTCGTGCAGCAGAGTCCGATGCAGAGCAATGAGGGCTTGCCACTGTTCGTTGTTCAACTTCGGACTCGATTCCGTTGTTGAACTTTGAGCATTGTCGACCTCGATGCATTTGCTTTCAACCATAACCAGACCAGCGTATATACCCTTGACCTCTGCCACTAATTGTTCCTGTGAGATTGGGCGTGTTTCCGGCTGTTTTATCAAGACTTCTGTTTGGTCAACCTCGGGACTGCGTGGCTCGAACGATCGGGACGTAGATGGTCTAGGTGACTCGATGGTGTCTTTTCTTTTCAAAGGTTCTTCTTCGGGAGACCACAGCTTCCCCGACTTCTGCGCGGGCTCTCTCCGAAACTCATTATCAGGCGTACGGCCCGTTTGTATAGGTGCACGAGCTCGACTTCGCTTGGGAGGGAGAGACGATTCTTCATTATCCCGCTTCAGGCTCCTGTTCGAGGCCGGACTCTTCAACCTGCCTCGACGATCCCCTTCCGTGCTAGCTTCATGTACAGGAGTTTCAACATCGCCAACAACAGCAGTCTTGGAAACCGATTGGGATAGGTCTGATGCGGGATTGGTCCCGGCAGGTTGGGAAGCTGTGGCTTGGGTCAGGGGTTCGCCTCGGTCCCTGAGTCTGCAAGCATCTGGGTTAGCTCTTGGACATGCAGCTCTGTTGAAGGGGACGTACTGGGATAGTATTTTCTTTATTAAACTTGGTTTATCAGCTTCATCGCTGTGGTTTTCCTCGACGTGTCGTTTGATGTCTTCTTCCCTGGTGGAGCTGGGAGGCAAGAGCTTCGAGCAAGCCGGACATCTTCGTTTCTGATCTGTTTTCTGGCGTCTCGAGCCAATGATTAGTCTATCAATATCCGCCCTCTGGCTCGATAACGTCTTGTTGTCGGACATCGCTCGTGGGCCTCTTCGCGCGCGACGTGGGCGACCGCTGGAAAGTCCGATTTAGGTGGAATATGGGGCTAAATGTTCGGTGAAACGATTTTCCTAAGCAAATCGAGACGAATACACGATCGTCTTTCGGGACATCGACGTTGTTTTCTATAATTGAGCCTTAAGCCCACGCGTTTTGAAAAGTATTTACCGAAGAAATTGGCGAACAATATTGAGGTCGCCAGAGCCTGCTCTCGAGGCTTTCGGTGTTCTTGTTGAAACCGTGGGCGTAGGCAGAAGTAACAGAGGGCCGGTAAGGCAACCACTAGAATCTACAATGGTTCGCGGCCTATTTGCGAACCAATGCTTCGCCCCTATCAGAACACAGGGTCTTTTCGAGCCCCGTCCTCCGATTTCCTCACTCCCTTTCTCTTCCCAAACCCCACCAAAAACCTATGAATTCCAGCTTTTCCCCAGCTACAGCCTTATATTTTTTTCGCAGGAGGAACACTCTTGAGCCACAGGATTTTGAGGCCGCTGGGAATGCCCAATTATGCAGTTTCACCCATGGCCAGCCATTTCGATAGATCAGAGTGCTGCGCTGGCAGAATTCACGGCTTGTGCGGGGCCGCCAGGGGGCTGGGAACCAGCCACTTTGGGCCTTCGCAGCGCCTGGACGTCTTCGGACTGGACTCACATATGCATCCTCTGGATTTCCATGGTTGCGTTGTTGGGTTCAACCGCTGTCCTCAAATATTCAATGACGATTACGTTTTTCATGCCATGCACATGTAATGGATGCCCGACGATAATTGCACATTCCGAAAGCACTCAGCAGTCGAAAAGGTTGCATTGCCGGGTCAGACGACAGGAATTCCCAAGTCATCCATCCACCCATACTGTGTCTGACATAGTCTAGTACATGCCTTGATCGTGCATCAAGCAAAACCACCGCCCGCCCGCCCTTCATAAGGCCGGTTTTATCCGCTTTGTTCTCTTCCACCTAGATTTCATAGCAATATATTGGCCGGTCTCCATTCCAGGTGTGCCTCTGGTCTCAGGCTTGTCCCCATCCTCATGATCATGCGTTTTCGGTGCCAGGCGAGGCATCGGTATCAAAGACCACCAGACCCGATTGTGGTGTCAGCCATCATGCTGCGGATGACTTTTGCTCTGCAATGCACCGGAACAATCTTTTTGGTCTCATGAAAGTCACTAATCTCAGTATTCGATTCTTTCTAGTGTTTTCCTTCAATCTTTTTCACAGCAAGGTCGACGGCTCAAGTGGTCATTAACTCCGCTGGACCGCTGTTAGCCCAACCCAGCGCCCCAGCACAGCTGCGCGGTGCTTACAGTCCGTTGCACTGACAGCGTCCACCCCCCCTTTTTTTCCCCTCTTATACAAAAATATGAAAAAAAGCCTATTTTACACTATAACACGTATTTTTCTATATTACATATAAAACGCGCTAAATCTATTACTAATGCCTTAATTACTATTAATTACTATAGTTACAGTAATATTTAAACGTATAACTATATAATAGAGATATAAAATATATATCTAATATCTCTACAATAGTTAATTTATTTATAGAGATATTATTAATATAGCTAGTTATTTTATCTCTATGCTAATTAACTAATAAAAAATATATTTTATTTTAATAAGAGATTAAAACAATATTTACTAAAAGTTAAAAAAAGAGATTTATCATATAATTTTATATATTTATTTAGTATATAGTTTATATAGCTTCAAATAATACAAAAATACATTAAAAAACTTAACGTAGTTTTTTAGAATAAATAGCTTTAATAATTAATAAAAATAATAATCTTTTAGATAATTTAGTTTATTTATAATTAAGAATCTATTATTATATAAATTATATTTAGTTATTAATTATTTATTATTAATTACTATATACTTATAATTTACTATGCTAAATATATTAAGAAGAACACTAAATAATAGTAATAATAATAAAATAATATTTAGAATATTAAATCTATAGCTATTAGTAATTATGATAATATTATTATTTAAAAACTAAAAGACTTCTAAACTAATAAATATTATTAGCTATACTAAATGAATAATTTAATGATATAAGTTATAATATAAATATCAATATTATATATAATAATATTATTCTAATTAATTAGTATTTATTAATAAATTTAGCGTTAATAAAGTATTAAGATATAGAGGACTAAATAAATATTAAAAAAGCTTATTGTGTTTTAAATTATAAAAATTAATTAGTTTTCAAACTTTTATATATAAATTTTATTAGTTTTTATGCTAGATAGTATTTTATATTTAATTATGTATTATAATATAACTAGTAATAATAGCTTTTCTTATTAGCTATAAAAATATTTTATTTTAAAATATAAACATTTTCTAAAACTAAATTTAATTATTATTATAGATAATTTCTCTTATTATTATATATTTTAAATTAAAGATTCATATTAAATATTAAACATTAATCTCAAACTTCTATTTTTACATTTATTAGATTTTAACTTTATTAAGGAGTATTTTAGTAATTCAAAGTAACATATTAAGAAAATATATTTAAAATAAAATAATAATAAGAATAATATTTAGGATTTTATAGAATATTTATATAACTATATTATAAAGATTAAATATTATTTGTTTTAGATTAAAAGCTATTTTTATTACTTATTTATTAATTTTAATAAATTAGAGTATATATTTAAGAATATTAAACTATAAAAAAGAGAATAAACTACAAATATTAATATTAATAAATAATCTAAATCTTTATTATATAATTGTAGTACATTTTAACCATATTATTATACAATAGAGAATTATTAGATTTATAATTATAGCTAATAAGATTATAAAAAGTTTAACTATAAATATATTAAAATATATAAAGTATATTATTATTTATTAATTTTACTAATAGCTATATATATATACATTAATTTTATTTATATAGTAACTAAAATATATTAGTAATATTTATAATAATAATTTGTAATATTAATATATTGTTATAGTTTATCATTAGAGATTTTAACTATAATTAGAAACTTTAATTATAATTAACTAAGAAATATTAAAATAAACTAAATTATTTATAAATCTAAAATTATAGTAATTCGATTATTTTTATATATATAGAGTAGTAATATTAAATCTATAGCTATAAATAGACTTTTTTATAGTTGAATATATCATATAAAACATTATATATATATAATAAAACTCTATATTATTTTTATTATATTATTTATTTTCTCTATCCTTTTCTAAATAATATATCTCTATTAATAATATATTATTTAAGATTTTAATCTAATTACTTTTACTATTTAGTTTAGTTTTATTTTATTTAATTTATAACTATTTATATGATATCTATAATACTAATAGTGATAATAATAAAATAAAACTAAAAAGTTCTAGAATATTTATAAAATCAGTCATATTTAATAATAAAAAGCTTTATATATATTTATTTCATTAACTAACTTTAATTAATATATTATAGATCTTTTATTAATAGATTAACATGATACTAAAATATTAATATATTAAAATAACTTCAATTTATTTAAAACTAATATTATAAAGTTTTTAATTAGTATTACTATTATTGTTTCTAATAATTTAGTATATATTTTTATATAAATATCTCTTTCTAACCTTTAATAATATAAGTAAAAGTTAAAATAAGATATTATATTAGAGAGGGTGTTAAACTACTTTCTATAATAAATATTATTATTTATAAAACATTTAATTAAATTTCTAATACTTTTAGTAAAATCTTAAATAAAACCTTATTTAATAAACTAAATATCTAATAATTTATAAATTATTTACAAGCTATTATTTATTAATTATAGTTTATATAGCCTTTTTTCAGCTTTTTATTAATATCATATTACTTATTATAAATAGATTTAAACTACTTAATAAAGCTAGCTATTTAATCTTAAGCTTTTTAAAATAAATCTAATATTACTAATAAGAATAAATAAATTCAAAGTGTAATATTTAGTTAATAGATACTTAGAAGGTTTAATAATAGAAAACTTAGTAATAAATACCATAAAATATTTATGTATAGCTAATATATTAATAATAATAATATTAATAATAATAGCTATATATATATAAATTAAAATACTAAAGATAATAAACCAACACTTTTATATTATTATACATATTTATAATAATAATATTATTAATATTAATTAGACTAAATTTTAACTCTAATAATAGAAATATAGTATTTTTAGCTTTTTTATTATTATTACTATTATCTTCTAATTATTATTAATTTTAATAATGTTTTTACTTGTCTTATTTTAATAATTTAAATTCTTAATAAACTAATTATAAAAAGTCTCACTAAATAGTTTTTTAAATAGTTTTATATTGTTAATATTAATCTATTTAGTTATAATAGCTTTTATTTATTTCTCCACATAATAAAACTTAATTTTGTAATACTTCTAGCTTAATATATAGTATTAATTAAACTTCTTATTAATTAAATTACTTTTTATATTTATAATATTTTAAGTAGATATATATATAGAGAAGTTATCTATATATATCTTCTTTTTAACACTTAATATTTATAAGATCGTTAAACTTATAATGAATTACTTCTTATATACTAACTAAAATATTTATTTAACTACCTTTTTAAAGTATTCATATACTAATTACTATCTTATTAGAAATTAATATACTACTATATTACTATTTAATGATAAAATAAACTTTATTCGTTTTTTTAGTTTATTTAAGAGAGGGAATAATATTAAGCTATAGAATATTTAGCTAAATAACCTTTTTAATAGATAGATATATTTATATAAAATTTAGCGTTAGTTTAAATATATTAGTTAGCTTTTTCTAAATAATGATAATATTAATATTAGCTTTTTTTACATTATATAAATAAATTATTTCTATTTTAAATTAAATATTCCTATTTACTTTTTGGTTTTTATTATTT